CTCTTGGTGTGATTGGTACCAGCCAATCCTCGTTTCTGCAGACCTCCAATCGACGAGTGGCCAATGCCCTGACACAGCTGAAGATTGCCCTGTCAAAACATGATCGTTTGTTTACCAAGGCACAACGCAGTGACGTGGAATTCTTGCAGACCTCCCTGGAAACTCCTGGAGCCGTTGAGGGCCTGCTCACCGGTCTCAAGGACAGCTTTGAAGTACAGCTGTCAGATCTCAAAAAGCAGGAGACTGAGGACAAGAAGGCTCATGAAGGCCTGGTCAAAGCCAAGACTGAGGAAATTCAGGCTGGCAAGAAACAGTTGGAGGCCAAGAAGGAGCAGAAAGCATCAGCAGACTTGGAGAAGGAGCAGAGCAAGCAAGACATCAGAGACACCACTGCCGCCTTGGAAGCAGATGGCGCTGTCAGTACCGAGGTCAAGGAGAAGTGTGCGGTCATGGACACGGACTACGACAAGCGCAGCAAGTTGCGATCTGAGGAGCAAGCTGCGGTCAGCAAGACCATTGAGGTCTTGACTGCAGATGAGGCGCATGATGTTTTCGGCAAGACCTTCTCCTTTTTGCAGGTGTCTTCCCACGACAATCGCCAAGACCGTGCTGCAGCTGTGTTGGCTGCTGCTGGGAGGAAATTGGATTCCCGCCTGACCACCTTGGCCTTGACCATGAAGTTGGATAGCTTTGAGAAGGTGAAGAAGGCCATTGATGAAATGAAGGCTGATCTGAAGAAGCAGCAGGCTGCTGAAGTTGAGCAGAAGGATTGGTGTGTCGATGAGCTGCAGAAAACAAAACTGGAGACACAGGACAAGACCCACTCTGAACAGCAGAAGCTGGCAGAGCTGGAAGCCCTCCAGAGCAAGGTTGCACAACTCGGTGCCGACATCAAGTCTCTGGAGGACGAGGTAGCCGAAATGAACAAGCAAACGCAAGTGGCCGGCCAGAACCGCGAGAAGGAAAACAAGGAGTTCCAGGGCGTGGTCGTGGAGCAACGGCAGACCCAGAAGCTCTTGCAGGAAGCGAGTGCTTCCTTGAAGAAGTTCTACGTCAAGGCGCCTGCATTCATTCAAGCCAAGAAAAGCAAAGCAGGTGAGCCTGAGTTCAAGGACTACAAAGAGCAATCCTCCAGCTTTGGTGTCATCAGTATGCTTCAGCAGCTCATTGCTGATGCAAAAGCTATGGAAGTTGAGGCAACCCATGCAGAGACTTCTGCTCAAGAAGATTACGAGGCCTTTGCCAAGACAACCACTGCATCCATTGAGACCAAGAAGAAAGAGATGACAACAAAAGAAGAGGAGAAGGGTGCAACTGAGGCTTCTTTGGTGGAGGCACGTCAGGCTAAGGAGGGTTTGACGACGGAGCTAGAGGAACTCGCCACGCTCACCGGGGAGTTACACAACCAGTGTGACACCCTCATGCAACAGTTTGATGCCAGGCAATCAGCTCGTTCAGATGAAATGGATTCCCTGGACCAAGCGAAGTCCATGCTCTCAGGGGCCAAAGCTTAAGATGGCTTCAGCGTCCAAAGCCTTCCTTCAGTGTCTCATTCTGATAAAAAGTTGCGGCTTGCCACAACGTTTGATAGGCTTGTGCCTCATGCAAAAAATTCTGGCCGAAATGCGAACCGTGAGAGTCAGAGTGTTTGCGCATGTTTGCATAAGGTTGGCTTCTCTGGCGACTTTGGTGAGTATTAGGCTTGTGCAGACTTTTACATCTCATATAACTCATATACTACGATGTAACGACACCTCTTCAAGTGCAACTGACCTTTAGACAGTTTATGATTTTTTATATGCCCTTCATGCACATGTTACACATGCATTTCACACGAACCTGTCAGGAGCTCTGTCCAGACTCTAGACGAGACTCGTCTAAAATCTTAGACATCGAGGAAAACTGCGCAACAATTCGGATGCGGGTGAAGCAAGGCCCATGTTTGATCATGTTTGGTCCTGTATGTCCTGCACCAAATGCAGCGCAACAACAGGCACAATAAGACTCAGGTAGAGTAAAAAAGGGCAGGGTTGCTTGATTCAATTTCTCACCCACAATTATGTCCAAAGCTCAATACAAATGTAATATTATATAATTCTATATGAATTCTATATACTATATAATTCTATATACTTTCATATGCAAGGTTTGCTTTCAGATGTAGCATAGAAGTGCGTTTGCGCCATCTTGCGCCCCCCGAAACTTTAGACTTATGAGGTCCAACAGCACAGAGAATATTGTGCTTATTTTAAAAAACACAAGCAGAGCAAACAGAAAAAACAAACTAGAAAACCAACACAGAGGAAAACACAAAATAAAAGCAAAATAAAAAATACTTTACTTCGAGTCATCCCCACCATGACATTTATACGTTTTGTTACTGGCAAAACCTTCTGGCATTCTATCTGGCATATTTTCTGGCATTCTACCTGCCATATCTTCTGGCATGTGTTCTGGCATATCTTCTGGCATATGTTCTGGCATATCTTCTGGCATATCTTCTGGCATATGTTCTGGCAAATCTTCCGGCATTCTATCTGGCATATCTTCTGGCATATCTTCTGACATCCTATCTGGCATTCTATCTGGCAAATTTTCTGGCATTCTATCTGGCAAACATTCTGGCACTTTATCTGGCATACCTTCTGGCATTCTATCTGACATTCTATTTGGCATACCTTCTGGCATTCTATCTGGCATATCTTCTGGCATTCTATCTGACATTCTATCTGGCATATCTTCTGGCATTCTATCTGGCCGTTGAGGTCCAGCGGTGCAAAGTGAGCTGGGCAGGTCCCAGGTTGAGGTCCAGCAGTGCACACTGAGGTGGGCAGGTCCCCGGTTGAGGTCCAGCGGTGCACACTGAGGTGGGCAGATGCCAGGTTGAGGCCCAGCGGTGCACACTGAGCTGGAACGGTCCCAGGTTGAGGTCCAGCGGTGCACACTGAGCTGGGAAGGTCCTAGGTTGAGGTCCAGCGGTGCACACTGAGCTGGGAAGTTGGCAAAGAGCTTGGCGCAGAGAGTCGGCGAAGAGAGTTGGCAAAGAGCTTGGCGAAGAGTTGGCAAGGCGGAAGTGCAGGTGGAAGTTGATGCAGACATGGTCGAGGAGAAACTGGAGGAGGAGGCGAGGAGGAGGACGAGGAGGAAGAGGACAGCTAGTCGAGGAGGAGGAGGAGGCGGAGGAGGAGGAGGAGGATGAGGCGGAGGAAGAGCGCTCTGATAAAATCTAACAACCCTCACCTGGCAGGTGGGGAACAAACAAACAAAAACCAACCAACACTGGGAAAAACCATGGTTTTGATTTACTGTACTTTTTGTATTTTATTCTAGTTATGTTTATATATTCTTATTTTATTTTATGTTCTTTTTTTCTGAAAATTCTTCCCGTCGGGTTGTTTTTTGGTGATTCTGTTTGTGATTGTGATTTCTAATTTTGAACTTGTTTTGCTAAAACCAACTTTCTTTGTTGAAATTTGTGTCATAACTTCAGACAACTTCCATTTGTGCCTTTGCAAGGCAGGTTCCGACATCAATCGAAGACGGGATACTTCTGATATCTTTTGAATTCTTATGATATCTTCTGACATATGCTTTGCCCTCAGATGTTGGCATCAGTAAACAACGGTTGGCATGCATTGGCCATAAAACAGGTTTGTTACTACCAAAGCATCAAAAAGTGCCGTTTGGGAGAAGGCTGCAAGTTGAGAATCAGTTTGAATCACATGAATAAAAAATAAAATAACGAGTACTTTGGGATACTTTTGGATGACTGATGACCATCACAAAAACATAATATGCTGTACTGTACTCGTTAAGTGCACGGCTCTTGTGGTTGCAGACAACTTCAGAAATTGTGCTGTCGTGTTATGTTGTTTTCCAAGCTCCACCAGCCTCAGTTGACTGGACTTCGAAAAGAGTTCCCAATCTCTGGCACGCCGCTCCGCCCGCGGGCCCTCAACTTCAGCGCTGGCCATGGCCAAATGGCCAAATGGCCAAATGGCCAAGAAGAATGGCCAAGCATGGCCAAGCATGGCCAAGCATGGCCAAGCATGGCCAAACCAAGTGTAGTTGGAGGCGTTTGTGGGTAAAACGTTGCGCTGCACTGCTGTTTCCCCATTTTATTGAGTTCCCTACTGGAACTGTCTGGAATGGTTTGTCAAACGGACTGCGACCGGGAATCCCGGGAAACCATCACAACGGCAGCGGCTAGGAGCGTGTACCAGGTCACAAGAAGCAAAGGCAAAGTTATGCAAAACGTATGTCACCCTAAACTATAGTTCCAAAACGGATTTGTTTGTTTTTGATTTGCCGGTGTCTCCCCTCAGCTGCTGGCAGTGGAATGCGAACTTGTGCAGTTGCTAACACCATGACATGGTTGCGTTGGTTCAAGCTCAAGATTATGCGCATTGGGACCTCGGGATTTTCAAGTCACACTTTGTCAGACATGCCGCGACATGCCACACCTCAGACAACAGCAAGATAATTCAGAAAGCTGTGAAAGACTCGTGCTGCTTCACACTGCTTCAGTATCTTCATTTCTGACTCTGACATCTCTGACTGCTGTTTTTGTCTGTTCTTCCCGGGGAGACGGCTACAGCATGCTACAGCAATGTCGTTTGGATGCGTTTGGAGAATGATCAAAGCTGCAGATCGACTTCAGCTTGGCTTCGGTGGTGCCACCTAGCTTCGCGATGCTTCGCGGCATGTCTGTTGGCCATGAACCGTCATGGTCTGCCATGGCCTGCCAGTCGCCAAGGCATCGGGCCGAGCTCATGCACAACTTGATCATGTAGTTGCTTGAATATTAACCATGGGGATGCAGGTATAAAATGGCATAAATGGTTCAATTTAGTTCTACTTTTCGGAATAGTTATTCCACAATATCACAAAGCCATTGTCATGTGTATAAGAATGTCAGCACGGCACGGTCGATGGATCATAGGAAACCTACAGGAGAGTGTCAACCTGTGCGATATTGTGCGATTCTGCTAGATTTTGGGGCTCAAGTTCCATTACATCCGTGACTTCCCTAGGAAGAATTGTAGCACAGCCAGGGGCGGTTGAATCCGGTCGAAGAGATGATCCGCGTCCTGTGTTTGTTCGCAGTCGTACATGGCTTCTTGGCCATGGAGACGGAGACCCGGCCGGTCACCAAAGTGGTGAACCTGCTGAAAGACATGCAAACCAATTTGGAAAAGGAGGCCAAAGAGGATGAAGACACGTATGAGAAGATGCAGTGTTGGTGCAAAAGCAACGGAGATGAAAAGGCCAAGAGCATTGAAGAAGCGCAGAACCATGTGAAAGCCTTGGAGGCTCGTGTTGATGAGTTGACCGCCACCAGCTCGCGCTTGACTTCAGAGATCACTCATACTGAGGATGAGGTGTCCAGCAACGAAAAGGCCTTGGAGGCGTCTGAGGCCTTGCGCGCCAAGCAAGTGACTGAGTTCGCCGCTGATGAGAAAGACCTCACCCAGTCCGCGACTTCCGTGGACAATGCTCTTGGTGTGATTGGTACCAGCCAATCCTCGTTTCTGCAGACCTCCAATCGACGAGTGGCCAATGCCCTGACACAGCTGAAGATTGCCCTGTCAAAACATGATCGTTTGTTTACCAAGGCACAACGCAGCGACGTGGAATTCTTGCAGACCTCCCTGGAAACTCCTGGAGCCGTTGAGGGCCTGCTCACCGGTCTCAAGGACAGCTTTGAAGTACAGCTGTCAGATCTCAAAAAGCAGGAGACTGAGGACAAGAAGGCTCATGAAGGCCTGGTCAAAGCCAAGACTGAGGAAATTCAGGCTGGCAAGAAACAGTTGGAGGCCAAGAAGGAGCAGAATGCATCAGCAGACTTGGAGAAGGAGCAGAGCAAGCAAGACATCAGAGACACCACTGCCGCCTTGGAAGCAGATGGCGCTGTCAGTACCGAGGTCAAGGAGAAGTGTGCGGTCATGGACACGGACTACGACAAGCGCAGCAAGTTGCGATCTGAGGAGCAAGCTGCGGTCAGCAAGACCATTGAGGTCTTGACTGCAGATGAGGCGCATGATGTTTTCGGCAAGACCTTCTCCTTTTTGCAGGTGTCTTCCCACGACAATCGCCAAGACCGTGCTGCAGCTGTGTTGGCTGCTGCTGGGAGGAAATTGGATTCCCGCCTGACCACCTTGGCCTTGACCATGAAGTTGGATAGCTTTGAGAAGGTGAAGAAGGCCATTGATGAAATGAAGGCTGATCTGAAGAAGCAGCAGGCTGCTGAAGTTGAGCAGAAGGATTGGTGTGTCGATGAGCTGCAGAAAACAAAACTGGAGACACAGGACAAGACCCACTCTGAACAGCAGAAGCTGGCAGAGCTGGAAGCCCTCCAGAGCAAGGTTGCACAACTCGGTGCCGACATCAAGTCTCTGGAGGACGAGGTAGCCGAAATGAACAAGCAAACGCAAGTGGCCGGCCAGAACCGCGAGAAGGAAAACAAGGAGTTCCAGGGCGTGGTCATGGAGCAACGGCAGACCCAGAAGCTCTTGCAGGAAGCGAGTGCTTCCTTGAAGAAGTTCTACGTCAAGGCGCCTGCATTCATTCAAGCCAAGAAAAGCAAAGCAGGTGAGCCTGAGTTCAAGGACTACAAAGAGCAATCCTCCAGCTTTGGTGTCATCAGTATGCTTCAGCAGCTCATTGCTGATGCAAAAGCTATGGAAGTTGAGGCAACCCATGCAGAGACTTCTGCTCAAGAAGATTACGAGGCCTTTGCCAAGACAACCACTGCATCCATTGAGACCAAGAAGAAAGAGATGACAACAAAAGAAGAGGAGAAGGGTGCAACTGAGGCTTCTTTGGTGGAGGCACGTCAGGCTAAGGAGGGTTTGACGACGGAGCTAGAGGAACTCGCCACGTTCACCGGGGAGTTACACAACCAGTGTGACACCCTCATGCAACAGTTTGATGCCAGGCAATCAGCTCGTTCAGATGAAATGGATTCCCTGGACCAAGCGAAGTCCATGCTCTCAGGGGCCAAAGCTTAAGATGGCTTCAGCGTCCAAAGCCTTCCTTCAGTGTCTCATTCTGATAAAAAGTTGCGGCTTGCCACAACGTTTGATAGGCTTGTGCCTCATGCAAAAAATACTGGCCGAAATGCGAACCGTGAGAGTCAGAGTGTTTGCGCATGTTTGCATAAGGTTGGCTTCTCTGGCGACTTTGGTGAGTATTAGGCTTGTACAGACTTTTACATCTCATATACTACGATGTAACGACACATCTTCACATGCAACTGACCTTTAGACTTTAGACAGTTCTTTACTGATTTGTTTTCTTTGTTTGTGTTTTCCTCATATGCCCTTCACATGGTACACATGCATTCTACACGAACCTGTCAGGAGATTCAGGAGCTCCATCTTCACTTGTCTAGACATCGAGGAAAACTGGGCAACACATGGCAGCACTGGCTGGCTTCGGATGCAGGTGAAGCGAGGCCCATGTTTGATCACATTTGGTCCTGTATGTCCTGCACCAAATGCAGTGCAGCAACAGGCAACATCAGGTACCATGCGACTCAGGTAGGGCAATGGGGGTTAGGGTTGCCCCATATGTACAAAGTTTGTACGTTTCTAAAGTTTGCCCTCAGATGCTTTTAGCGTAGAAGTGCGCTCGCGCCCTCAGCTTTAGACAACTTCCGTCTGGGCCTTGACAGGCAAGTTCTAACACCAATTGAAGAGAGATGATTCTGATATATTCTGATATTTTCTGAGAGTTTGCTCCCAGATGTTGGAATATTTTTTAAACATTTTAAACCTGCCAGTTTAGGGATTGTTTAGGGTCTCTAGATTTTATATGATTTTATATGATTTTATGTACTTCATCTTTCTCCTCCTTCCTCTCCTTCCTCTCCTCCTCGCCAAGTCGCCAAGTTGCAAACGTCATCGCCAGCTCTGCAGCCTGGCTGGGCCTCGCATGGGTCTCGCCAGACCCGAACACTATCGCTAGCATAATACCAGACGAAAATATATACATCAAAATACCATAAAATGATACATATATAATATATATATAATCATATATATATATACACATAATATGACATGCCAGGTATAGTAATATGTCAGAAAGCGTGCCAGATAAAATGGCAACTTTTGTAAACTTTATATTAATTTCTGTAGTTTTCAGTATTCTGCATTGGACACGTCAAGAAAACATAGAAATTTGAAGAAGGCTCAAAAATCGACCAATCATCAAGGATGTGACCAAAAAAATCCGAATGCTTTGCGAAAGACCCGCGAAAGCTTCGATTGGCTGGGATCGCCCTTCCCCTTTAACTTAGGTCAGGGGAAGGTTGGCAAGCGGATTCCAGATTTTTCAAACGAGTTCTGCGCAAGGGACTTCATGTCACATGTTCGTGCTTTTCCCTATGTGAACCACGGTCAATATTTAATAGCTCCAAGTCATCAAATTTTGAAGAGTGTATTATCGTTTTTCGGGTTTGGATAAACCATGTTCGTATTCCCTGTATATTCCATTGTATTCTGATGGCTTTCCAGCAAGGGATGAGATACTTCCAGACACTTTCTCGGAAAGTCATTTTCTTGATGGAACTGTCGCCACCACTAGCACAACCACCACTATCACTATCACATCACAACCACCACTATCACCCAGCACTGTCACCACCACCAAAACTGACGAAAGCTTCATTTTCACATCTTCCACGTTCAGTTTTTGAGTGAAGTCTCGCACGAAAGCTTCATTTTCACATCTTCCACGTTCAGTTTTTGAGTGAAGTCTCGCACGAAAGCTTCATTTTCACATCTTCCACGTTCAGTTTTTGAGTGAAGTCTCGCACGAAAGCTTCATTTTCATATCTTCCACGTTCAGTTTTTGAGTGAAGTCTCGCACGAAAGCTTCATTTTCACATCTTCCACGTTCAGTTTTTGAGTGAAGTCTCGCACGAAAGCTTCATTTTCACATCTTCTACGTTCAGTTTTTGAGTGAAGTCTCGCACGAAAGCTTCATTTTCACATCTTTCACCTTCAGTTCCAACAATTCATTCAGGAAATATCTGAGCCCTGCCACGTCTTGCGCTTGCTTGCTGCTCATCTTGGACGAGCAATATGCGCTAAGAAAAACAGTTTTTTAGCGAGCAATGGGCCAGCGTTTGGCCGATGGGGGTTATGTATGGTTATGTGATTTTTTGGTTATCGTTTCGTTATCGTTCCGGTTATAATTTGGGACACCTGGTTGGATCAAAAAGTCTGCAAAACAATGATTCTGGTAAACCTTGTTCTGTCCTTTCTCCAGCATGGCGGATTGTCACTAGCAAGAGTTGAGGCAAAAGACTGATGGCCGTACAGTACTTGAAATTTACTCAGCATGCAGCGCAGCGCAAACAGCAGCATAAACAGACCATCACCACACAGCAATTCGCATGGCCTATCTCTCAAACAGATGGTAAATGCTATTGAATGCCTACTGACAAAGGATGACTGATGACCAAGATCAAACATAAGAATGTTATCGTTTTTTTGAAGAGTGTATTATCATACTGTCCATTACGGTAACTAGCTCATGTCAGAAATGAAATTTCGGCGCACGTGTTGCCACAGTTACAATTCCTGCCCATTGAAAGAAAGCTTGGGAACAAACCTTTCAACATGATCCATACGGAAAACAAGGGTTTCTTTTCAGTCAGGAGTTTTCCGCGAAAGCTCATGAAAGGATGCCGCAAAAGATGCAAAAGAAACATCAACACCGCAAAAGTTTCGCTAAATGGATGGCGAAAGAGAAGAGCGAATAGAACCAAATCTATGAGGGTTTTGGCATGTTTTGGCAACGGCTCAGATGAAATCCTTCCACACATGTTAAATACTGTCAACTTGAATGTCAGAGAAAATGTCACCTAGAATGCCAGATGCCATGTCAGAATATGTCAGATAGAACTGTCAGAATACGTTGAATATATATGTCAGATCGAATGTCAAATGAAACGCTGGAATATGTGTGAGAAAAAAGTGCGGAAAGAATGCTAGAATATGTGAGTTGGCGAGGATCACTGCAAGTCAAACAACGTCATGTTATTTTCCTGATTCCACCAGCCTCAGTTGAGTGGAAGACTGTGCAAAGAGTTCCCAATCTCTGGCACGCCGCTCCGCCCGCGGGCCCTCAACTTCAGCGCTGGCCATGGCCAAATGGCCAAGCATGGCCAAGAATGGCCAAGCATGGCCAAACCAAGTGTAGTTGGAGGCGTTTGTGGGTAAAACGTTGCGCTGCAGTGCTGTTTCGGGAGGAGGGCTGCTCTAGCTTCCTCATGACCAGATTCTGTTGTCTAATGTTGTCTAAGTCATTCTAAGTGAACGTGCTTTTATTGGCTTCCCCTTTTCAACAAGTTTTTGTGCTGGAATGGTTTATCAAACAGACTGCAACTGGGAAACAGCCACAAAGGCTGGGAGCGTGTGCCAGGTCACAAGAAGCAAATGCAAAGTGTATCAAAGTGTATGTCCTAAACTAGGTCCTGAACTGCACAGATATCATCAGATTTCTTTGTTTTTATTTCATTTTATTTCGCTGATGCCTCCCCACAGCTGCCAAGGGAATGCGAAGTTTGCAATATGTATCAATATGTTGCAATTTAGGTTCAAAAATTATGAACGGTTCATTTAAGACTATCGAGATATATCGAGATCGATTGAGGTGCTGTGGGCTCAGTGGCCTCAAGGCTCAAGACATCTGAAGACGGAGTGTCAGACCTTGGACTGCGTTCATGTTGGATTTGTCGGGATATGTCGTGATTAGATCTGAAGTTTCAATGGGGAAGAACATGGAAGAACACAGAACAGACGACGTAAGACTCACTGCATCAGATGTCCTGCTGGCATGGCATGGGCGGAATTGTGTTGGACAACAAAAGGGCAAGATTGTTTGAGTCAGAAGGTATTGCTTCAGAGTCTTTTATAGAAAAGTTCAGCTATCTCCAGGTGGCTGCAAGGCGAGCTCAAAGGAAGAAACATGCAGAAGTTCTGAAAGATTCGTTGTGATGAAAATGGGCGATGGTTAGCAATGGATTTGGAGTACCTTGCCTCAGTAGGCATACTGGGTTACCAGTCTGGACTGTGGCCTTCGCCCTGTGAATCTCAGCCCTCTGCAGCCGGGGCAGAGAACGAGGTTGACATTGCAGAGCAGGACCTGGTGTAGGAAAGCGTTTGCTGGTTCGACAATTATATATTAGTTGATGATGCTTGATATGTTTGATGAAGATGTGATTGTTTGGGATTGGTTCTTATTTGAGAGCCCCGTTGTTGTCACTTTCAATGACACCATCTCAGACAAAGTGCGTGTTGTCCAGGCATACATTCGTGCAAGCATCATAAACATAAATAGTGACTATTATAGTAGTCTTGGTGACGAGGTGTACAGTATAGTACATGCTATCATACAGTTCCAAACAGACGCGAGAGGACAGGGCTTGGGATGCCTTAAGAGTCAGGTTGTTGCTGTTTTGGGTTCTTATGCCCAAGAGTGCGCCAGGCAATCTCCCTTCAACAAACTTTATTGGCTTGAAGCACACCAGGTGTAAGAGGTCATGTTCCCTGACTGTCATCTCAGAAGATTCAACATGCATGATTGATCACTGAATGTTCACCCCGTTGACTCTTCTCAGGACGAGCTGTTTAGCTCAGGGGAGGTCAGGATCCCCTCGGCTTTGAACAATGTGTTCTTTCAGGAGACACAGCTGTGCTTGAGTGCAGCCATGTCAACTCAACTGTTTTGTTGCGCGGCCACAGTCGTGGTAGAGTAGAGAGAGATTTCTGTCGATGCACAGTGTGTGGCAGTGTGTTTGTTTGCAACATGAAGAACCAGAGATGGATGAAAAAGTACCATTCCCATTCATTCCCTAGTATATAAAATGATATAAAATGTATATAATTCCTTTCGAGATGTCCCGACTTTGCCGCGCAATGTTCGATGCTATGAAAGCCCCACCAGAACTACACATTTGCTTTGCCACTGCCGCAGCAGCGCAGATTGACTTCAGCTTGGCTTCGGTGGCACCACCGAGCTTCGCGGCATGTGTGTTGGCGCTGAACCGTCATGGCCTGCCGCTCTCCAAGGCGTCGGGCCGAGCTCATGCACTTTGGCATCATTCGTTTTGAAATATTGATAAATATTGATAAATATATTGATATTTTTTAAACTGTATATGTTTGCTGCATAATAGTAACCCCCCCTAAATAAAATAATTTTGGTAAAAAAGTCAGGGGGGGGTCAGCATTCCAATAGTAAATTTTTGGAACCTTATGGCTGGGATGGAGGCGAAGGAGGAGGACGAGGAGGAGGAGGAGAAGAAGGAGAAGAAGGAGAAGGAGAAGGAGGACAACAAAATTGGAGTTGCGGAAAAAAGTTTCCACTATTGCCATGCCTGGTGCAGGTTTGTTATTGCTATTCTGGGGCTTGCGAAGGGGGTACCCTTTGTGGACCTGTTTTCTTGCTTTTTTTTAATAAGGGTTTTATAAGGAAATCAGCTGTTTGGTAATTGGATCAGATTTCTGGAACCTAAGCTTTTGCTAATCAAAAGTGAAGGCTGCTTTGAAAAGGATTTGCTTTACTTGACTCTTTTGGCAATACTAAAAGTAAATGGAGCCAATTGACTTTTAGTATTGGAAAAAAAATGGAGTTGGGAAAAAAGTTTCCACTATTGCCATGTTGGGTCCACTATTGGCCATGCCCTCTGGACAAGGTCTGAACATGACTCTTTTGGCAATACTAAAAGTAAATGGAGCTAATTGACTTTTAGTATTGGAGAAAAATTGGAGTTTCGGAAAAATGTTTCTACTAATGACAAGATATCACTATTGGCTAGACAACATTATAGTGCATACTGTGTAGTGTAGTGTTATGTAGATACCAGTCCTGCATGGAGCGTCGCAGAAGTTTCATAAATATGATTATGAAATATTATGAATGCGCCACAGCAACAGCACCTACAGGAAGCGTTCCTGTATTTGCAGTCAGTGTCAAAGTTGGATTGACCACGTGATGTGATGTGATCGACAAGAAGCAAAGGGATGAAGGAACGGAGGGCTGATTGGCTCACTAACCGACTGATTGGCCCACCAACCGATTGATTCTCACTGACTGACTGAATGACTCTGTGAGATGCTTTGGTGCAGTCTACTGTTTGCTGATGTAGTGATCTCCTGATCCCATTGATTTATGATCTACTGTCATACTTATTTGCTTCTCCAATATCTTCTCCTCAGATCTACTGAGCTACTAGTCTCCTCATGGCCTGACCTGCTGATTTGCTGTTCTCCTTGCCTGTTGATCTCTTCGTGTACGGTTTCAGATCTACCGCTTATTGATTTACCGATCTACTTTTCTACTGGCCTTTGATGGGCAGAGCTACTGTTTCCCGATCTTCTCGTCTACCGTCCACCGATCTCCTGAACTAGCGTTTTGATGCGCTTGCTGTGTCTACTGTCGACTGATCTTCTCATTACTGTTTGTTGATTTTGCTGGCCTCCTGATTTACCGAAAATGATCTTGTGATCTATTGACTATATTGACTATATTGACATCATAGAAAGTGAAAACATTCCCAAACGACCGCTTTTTTCCCCAAACAGCCTAGCCACACTAAGGGGTTCTTATGGTACTTGTAGGTGTTAAGGCCCGGTGTTCATTTGAGGTGGTATCATAGGTCTGCGCATGTCTGCGCCATTTTTGATGACTCTTGCAGCACAATAAAGTTCCTTTATCTTCCGTTTTGGATGGAAAAAAGTTTCGTTTTACTAGTGCGCCGTGCTCGTTTTTTTGACCTAAGTCCATTTCGTGGGGCAGACGTTGCACTTTCGCAACATTTGGGGGTCTGAAACGTCGTTTTGCGTAACAAGTGGTTTTGCCATGTTTTGCCGTTCCAAGCTGTTTCTATTCGGATTTTCGCAGGACAGCAAACACTTTTTCATCCACGTGGCAGGCGTGGCACTTTTTGGACGTTGCTAAAACGTTGGCAGGCGGCAGGCGTGGAACGAAATGAGAGGTGGTACTGGAGGTCATTTTTCAGAGCAGGCACAGTATTTGGTGAACTTGGACGACGTTTTCAAAGGGTAGATAGACAATCGCGTATTGTGAAACCGTCGTCAAATTTGTTTTGGGACATGACAATGATTCCATGTGGCAGGGGCGGCTTCAGATTCCTCGAGGCACAATACATTTTGTAGACTTCGACAAAAAAGTGGCTGAGACCTATATAGTAGGTAAAACTCGTTTTTGACTTATGTTTATGTTGCATGATGCGGCAACAGGTTTTGTGAAAATCTAACATGTGCTCGCGCAACCGTCTAGTTACTTTGTGCGTGTCGGATCGCTCTCGTTGTGGCGCGTTGAAAAGGAAGAGAGAGAGATTCGGTTCCAACGCGGGGCCGCTCAACCATGATCCGAGAATGACCTGGTCGCGCGGCCGACCTTACCCACTGATCTTTGGAGGCACTTTTTGATACTTCTTGCAACTTCTTGCCTTGGGAAGCATAAGATTTCGCGCAACTGCTATCATAATATCTCTCCAAGAACACATTTACTGCGAGATACTGCGAGACTTTCCTCAAAAACTGCAAGTTTAAGTCATTATGAAAGATTATGAAAGTAAAGGTTTCGTGCGAAGCCTGCTCCAAAAACCTGCGAGTTGAAGTTGAAGAGATAAGGACGCACCTTTCGTGTGAGACGCCCTCCAAAATGCGTAAAGTGACTCTGCTTCTGTTTTTTTCTTCTCTCTTGCGCTCTTCTCTTCTGTTCCCTCGTCTCGTCTTCTTTGCTCAACCCTACGCTTACTCTACTTTGCCGTCCTCTCCCGTCATTATTCTGTTACTCTAACGCTACGCTCCTCTTCTCTACCTTCTTTTTTTCTAATTACTCTGCTCCACTCTTCTATGTTCTTCTCTCCTCAATTCAAATCTCGTCTTCTCCATTCCCCTTCTCCATTCCCATTCTCCATTCCCATTCTCCATTCCCATTCTCTGCCCTTCCCTGCCCTTCTGGGCCCTACTCTGCCCTAGTCTGCCCTACTCAGCTCTACTGCTCTCCTCTTCTCTACTCTCTCCGTCTCTCGTTCTCTACCCTGCTCGACTCTACCCTCCCCTTCTCAGTCTCCTTTTCTCTACTCCACCCTTCTCTGCTATCCTTTTCTCTGCTCTGCTCTTCTCTACTTTACGCTGCCCTAATCTGTTCTTCTCTGCTCGGCTCTTTTCTATCCTGTCCTGATCTGCTCTAGTCTTCTTTACTTCTACCCTGCTCTATTTTCTACTACTCCTCTGGTCTGCTCGGGTCCTCCTCTTCTCCTTTGCTCTGCTCTCCTCTTCTCTATCCTCCCCTTGTCTACTTTCCTTTCCTTGCTCGGCTCTTCTCTGCCATAACCTACTCTACTCCACTCCACTCCACTCCACTCTACTCTACTCTACTCTACTCTGCTCCACTCTGCTACTCTGCCTTGCCCATCTACTCTTCTCTTCTCTTGTCTTCCCTACCTCACTCTGCTCTGTTCTGCTCTGCTCTGCTTTTTCTCTACTCCACAATACTCTACCCTATATACTCTTCTCCATTGCTCCTCTCTACCCTCCTCTTCTCTATTTTGCTTTTCTATGTGCTCTTCTCTGCTTTGTTCTTGTCTACGCGACCCTTCTCCACTCTCCTTTTCTCTGCTCTGCCTTTCGTTACCTTGCCATACTATACTCTTCTCTCCTGTTCGCTACTCTAACCCTGCCCTAATCTGTTCTTCTCTGATCTTCTCGTTTCTTCGCTACCTTACGCTATTCTGCCCTGCTCTGCTCTACTGTTCTCTTCTCTTTTCTGCTTTTCTTCGCTGTCTGTAGCACGCCAATTTCTCTACAAAATTCATGTGTTCATCATTGCCCCGTGTATAAACATGTCACCACGCAGCACGGTCCATGGAACCTGAGAGACCTTCCAGAGAGCCTCAACCTGTGCGATTCTGATAGATATTGGGGCTCAAGTTCCAATGTGTCCGCGACTTCCCTAGGAAGAATTGTAGCACAGCCAGGGGCGGTTGAATCCCGTCGAAGAGATGTTCCGCGTCCTGTGTTTGTTCGCAGTTGTACATGGCTTCTTGGCCATGGAATCGGAAACCCGGCCGGTCACCAAAGTGGTGAACCTGCTGAAAGACATGCAAACCAATTTGGAAAAGGAGGCCAAAGAGGATGAAGACATGTATGAGAAGATGCAGTGTTGGTGCAAAAGCAACGGAGATGAAAAGGCCAAGAGCATTGAAGAAGCGCAGAACCACGTGAAAGCCTTGGAGGCTCGTGTTGATGAGTTGACCGCCACCAGCTCCCGCTTGACTTCAGAGATCACTCATACTGAGGATGAGGTGTCCAGCAACGAAAAGGCCTTGGAGGCGTCTGAGGCCTTGCGCGCCAAGCAAGTGACTGAGTTCGCAGCTGATGAGAAAGACCTCACCCAGTCCGCGACTTCCGTGGACAAGGCGCTTGATGTGATTGGCACCAACCAATCCTCATTTCTGCAGACCTCCAAGGGAAGAGTGGCCAATGCCTTGACACAGCTGAAGAGTGTCCTCTCAAAACATGAACGTTTGTTGACCGAGGCACAACGCAGCAAGGTGGAATCATTGTTGAATCCCAAATTGAAATCCCAGTTCTTGCAGACTTCCCGGGAAGCTCCTGGAGGGGTTGCCGGTGTGCTTTCCGGTCTCAAGGACAGCTTTGAAGTACAGCTGTCAGATCTCAAAAAGCAGGAGACTGAGGACAAGAAGGCTCATGAAGGCCTGGTCAAAGCCAAGACTGAGGAAATTCAGGCTGGCAAGAAACAGTTGGAGGCCAAGAAGGAGCAGAAAGCATCAGCAGACTTGGAGAAGGAGCAGAGCAAGCAAGGCATCAGAGACACCACTGCCGCCTTGGAAGCAGATGGCGCTGTCAGTACCGAGGTCAAGGAGAAGTGTGCGGTCATGGACACGGAGTACGACAAGCGCAGCAAGTTGCGATCTGAGGAGCAAGCTGCGGTCAGCAAGACCATTGAGGTCTTGACTGCAGATGAGGCGCATGATGTTTTCGGCAAGACCTTCTCCTTTTTGCAGGTGTCTTCCCACGACAATCGCCAAGACCGTGCTGCAGCTGTGTTGGCTGCTGCTGGGAGGAAATTGGACTCCCGCCTGACCACCTTGGCCTTGACCATGAAGTTGGACAACTTTGAAAAGGTGAAGAAGGCCATTGATGAAATGAAGGCCGACCTGAAGAAGCAGCAGGCTGCTGAAGTTGAGCAGAAGGATTGGTGTGTCGATGAGCTGCAGAAAAAAAAACTGGAGACACAGGACAAGACTCACTCTGAACAGCAGAAGCTGGCAGAGCTGGAAGCCCTCCAGAGCAAGGTTGCACAACTCGGTGCTGACATCAAGTCTCTAGAGGACGAGGTAGCCGAAATGAACAAGCAAACGCAAGTGGCCGGCCAGAATCGCGAGAAGGAAAACAAGGAGTTCCAGGGCGTGGTCATGGAGCAACGGCAGACCCAGAAGCTCTTGCAGGAAGCGAGTGCTTCCTTGAAGAAGTTCTACGTCAAAGAGGCGCCTGCATTCATTCAATCCAAGAAAAGCAAAGCAGGTGAGCCTGAGTTCAAGGACTACAAAGAGCAATCCGCCAGCTTTGGTGTCATCAGCATGCTTCAGCACCTCATTGCTGATGCAAAAGCTATGGAAGTTGAGGCAACCCATGCAGAGACTTCTGCTCAAGAAGATTACGAGGCCTTTGCCAAGACAACCACTGCATCCATTGAGACCAAGAAGAAGGAGATGACAACCAAGGCAGGGGAGAAGGGTGCAACTGAGGCTTCTTTGGTGGAGGCACGTCAGGCTAAGGAGGGTTTGACGACGGAGCTAGAGGAACTCGCCACGCTCACCGGGGAGTTACACAACCAGTGTGACACCCTCATGCAACAGTTTGATGCCAGGCAATCAGCTCGTTCAGATGAAATGGATTCCCTGGACCAAGCGAAGTCCATGCTCTCAGGGGCCAAAGCTTAACATGGCTTCAGCGTCCAAAGCCTTCCTTCAGTGTCTAATTCTGATGAAGTCGCGGCTTGCCACAACGTTTGATAGGTTTGTGACCTGTGACAAAAAAAATGTCTGCCGACGTGCCCAATGTGAGAGTCAGAGTGTTGGCACGGGTTTGCACAAGGTTTGCTTGTTGAGACTTTGGTGAGTTTATTAAAACGACGCCTACCAACCGACCTTACATTTTTGATGATTTTTCATATGCCCTTCACATCCTTGGCTTCTTGAGTGCGGCTGATACACATGCCTTCACATGAATGTCGTGTCAGGAGCTCTCTCTAGACATCGACGAAACTGGGCAGCACAAGGGCAGCACTGGCTTGGGTTCCTGTTTCAAGGGGATGCGGTGAAGCAAGGCCTATGCTTGGTCCATTTTGGTCCTGTAACGTATGTCGAGGGCAAAATGCCCACAGCCGCAGCCGCAAAAAGAATCGGTAAGGTCATGAGTCACAAGGGAGGGTCTTTCATTAAATTGTTCACCCTCACATCGCCACTTTCCCTAGATGTTTGTTCCCCCAGGTGCCAGGTGAGGGTCTCTTGATTTTAAGAAAGGACCCCGCGGAGCGGACGCACACACACACACACATGCAAACCCGATGAAATATAAAAGACCCGTGTGTTGCTTTTGAAAGGGCGCCGGCAAGGCTAACATATCCCCATTGTGTCCCCAATTTCATTGTGCAACCCAGACGCCATAGAACCATAGGATTGTTAAGCATAAAACCGATGGCGACGGGAAAAAACAAAACTTGAGAGATGCTAATTTTCAGTTTCATAGTTTCCAATTTCCACATCAGGACATGTTAGCTGCCACCGTTCGCCAGTACCAATACAAAACTACAACGCATTCCCCCTGACATTGGTAATGGTAATGCAGAACACGTCTGTTCTAGGGAGTGTAACATAGTGTAACTATGCTTGGCCTGAGGAAATGCGCGGGGGTGTTTGAAACATTTTGAAATAAATAAACAGATGCAGGTTTCCAATCCTTGGTTCACCATGGTTGATGATTTGAACATCCGTCTATATGTGGTAACCTTTGTCGGCCATCAGCATCGGTCTATCTAAGGACATGGATATTTCGGCCATCGCTGAGGTCCTCAGCGTTTTTGGGCAGCTGCAGCAGCTGCAAAGGCAGCTGATTGGCAATGATCTATGACAAATCAATGAATCCTACATTATGTATCCCCCATGATTGTTCCTTTACAGAATGCCACTCGTTTGGTGTTACAAAATGCCCCCTCCAACTACCTTCTCATAAACGAAAACAATTTCAAAAAAAAAAAATATATTTATTTTGGGAATTCTTTTGTATGGCCAGGCATTTTTATAAAAAATCTGCCATCATGTATGGATGATAGATTATGCTAATTTGTTTTTAGTGTTTTTAGTGCTAGTTTTGTGCTTATAAACTTTACACCCACCATCTCATATAAGCCCATTGTGTCTTTCTAATGTGGCCGCCCTCCCTGCTGTTTCTTTATCTTTCTCGGTATTTGTAAAATGCCTTTGCTGGTTGATTTCCAGGTATTTCCCACCATTCTAAGAAACCATGCATTTTATAGAACCCACATGGGAGTTTTTGTTAGATTGTTGCCCATCTATGCGACCATATGCGACCACCAGGACATTTATGAAATGCATTTGCCTGGGATTCATTGGTATTTCCTTCTCAATTTCCAGGAAGGGCATTTTATAGTTGGATAAAAAGAATGCTTTTGCCAGAAATATTTTGAAAAATACTTTAAAATTTCATTGCAAGACCTTGAAAATGAACCACTGAATGTTTTAAAAGTGATTGTGGGCATAACTTATGGATAGAGATGTTTTTTGAAAAAAATGAAAAAAGTGAACTGGCAAACTCAAACCTGGGGGAAAACAGGTGAAAAAAGATGAAGAAAGTGAAAGCAGCTGACATTTGCTGACTGTTTTTTTGGGAAACAATCTAGAAGCAAGTTTGGGTTTGACTTAACTCAGGGTATCCCAAATTTGGTGGTGTTCCTTACTTTTGACGCCATTTGCCATCAAACCCATTTCATAGATGGCATACATGTATCATTTTTTTTAAAGGAGTTTTCAAGCATCTGGGCATTTTATAGTGGTGTTTGTTGCAAATCCCAATGATGAACCCGGGCAGTCCATAAACGGAAAAACATAAAAAAAAACTTGTTATCGGGATACTTTCAGTTTTTGGACGTGTTGGCATTTCATAAAACCTCAAGGTTTTATATTATACTATACCTGCATTTATATTGCGGAAATATGTTTTTCCGTCGGGCCACCTATTTCATAAATGCCCAAAGATGTATATTATTTATGAAATGACCAGCTAGGGGTAGGTACCCATCAAGCAAGGGGGATCATTATGTAAATTAGAGTTATAATTACAGGAGGATGCCTACATTCTTGATGGAACAAGATGTTCATTCATTTCAACGAGCCACAAAGTTGCTTGTACAGAAAATTTGGAACAAGTAGAATCAATTATTCCTGAATCTACGTTTGTGATGATTGTGGCCAGTTCAGTTACCCAGGCAGCGCTATAGGGTCATGCTGCCAATGTTGCTGAGGCATTGCTTCCTGGCTGCTACTGGCCTTCCGCCAATGTTTCGACATGTACCGCCTGCAGCGTCATTGTGCCGTATCTTCGCCATGGCCCAGGCGCCCCTTCCACCATCTTCCACGAAAATTCCCGACTGTAAGACAAATTGAGATGGACAATAAATGATGTGAATGCATGTGAACGCTGTGGACTGCTAGTTGCTTTTTCTTTGGCCAGGGCCAGGGGTGGTTCCTACATTGTTTACATGTGCCAGTGGCCCTTTGAGAGGCGATTATGTATGATGATAATTTAATATATATATATATACAGTATATATTATTTTATATTTATATATTAATATTGTGCAATATAATAACAACATAATATGATAATTACTATAATATATATATATATATTAGTTTAACAACAATATATGATTATAATTATATTTAAATATGTATTTTTGATATGTTTCAATTTTATAATAACTAGTATATGACATTATATAATGCATAAAACTATATAAAACTAATATATATATATGTATATATATTCTATTGTTAAATGTATAATATATAAATATAGTGTGCTTTCATTCATGACGAATTATGACGAATTTCAAGACAATGTGGGTTGAGAGTTGCCATGCGTTCCATGCAGAGGTTCGCAGGTGCAAAGTGCACTTTCAGCACTCAAGCAACTTGCCTATATGGTGTAACGTAAGAAGATAAGAACCGCTCTATAATAGGGCTCTTTCATTTTGGAGCGGTGAGTGGTGCGGGCTGACGCAGCAGTCCACACAGTCTCCCAGGCTTTTTGCAAATGCACTGCAAGACTCAACTGTGCCTTTCGGCTTGTCAAGGTTCTGAAGAATTCGTTTGCTCTTACTTTGATGCAATGTGCCTTGGCGCTCGGCGAGCTTATTTGTGCTTGTCTCCAAGTTTCGCTCAGTGAATTCCAAAGTCCAGGCTTGAGCCAAAGATTTACTGGCCGTTCAGAAGCATGGCAAACTCTGAAATCAACCTATGTTCTGTACAGGGCACATGATCCCATGGACGGCCCCATGCATTTGCACCAGAAATGAGCCATTTGTGCTGCTGTAACCACCCCACAGTCACAATGGATTTTGTCTTGGCTCATATATGTTGGGATTGCTGTTAGCTTCCGCTGTTAGCTTTTGCTGTTAGCTTCCGCTGGCAACTCCATCCGCCATCCCTACAGGAGTGTTTAATTATGAGGCACCATGTGGCAGCGAGGTTGCACAGCTTGACTCAGGTGCGAAGACTTGCAGGTCTCTGCCAGAGACTTCGAGGGGCTCTATACCCTCACAGAGGTGCAGGGTGCCAAACACCTCCCCCAGTGTTCGATGGAGCAGAACATGTGGGACGGGGAGAAGTGTGACCGACTGTGGTGGGTGGCCTAAAGATAGGAAAAAGGATGTGCAGCTGCTGCGGCTGCTGCTGCTGCTGCAAACTAGATAAATGTGATCTTAAAGGATTATTGTGAAGGATTGTGCAGGCAATTGGATGCAATTGGCCTATAAACCTCTGTTAACTATTGTTAACCTATGCATCCATGCGCTGTAGGCATTTGTATGTTATCAATATATATATTATATAATATTATATAATATAATATAATATAATATTATATTATATTATATTATATATCTTAATATTATATATATATAATATATATCTTAATATTATATATAATTATATATCATTATATATCATTTATATCACTATATATCATATATAGTAATAATATATTTTACTTATATGTGTTCAATCCTATACACTGCATGCCACTTTTATGATCTCAAGGCCGGCCTTGCTGCAGGTGCTTCCGTCAGTGTACAGTGTGCATACCGAAGCTTGCTTGCAAGAGGCTTTTGGATTTTGCCGCATCACTTTGCCAGTTTTTTTCTGAACCAGGAACTGTGAGAGTGCAATTCCGCACGTGAAATCTAAAAACTTAAAAACTGATCACAAACCACATGATTTAGCTTGTAAAACCTTAACGTATATATTTTACATGAACCCAATGAACCAAAAAAAGGAAAAAACACAAACAACAGTATAACCCCTATTTCCCAACCACTCATGGACCTTGGCAGTCGTGCGGATGTTTTTTCGCAGAAATTTGTGTTCTCTAAGGATTCTCGGCTCGTTCTTGGCAGCACATTCTTACGATTCCAAGAATACTACGAATGCCCAAATCCCGAGATACGGCATCATGCCTTCGAATTTAATCAGCTTCTTGGCGCCAAGCCTCAGCCATTGCTTGTTTCCTACCAAAACACAATGCATTTTTAATATAATAATATATAATATAATATAATATATAATATAATATAATATAATATGTTATAATATATTATAATATAATTAATATGTTATAATATAATATCATATATATAATATTATACGGTTCCAATATGTTCCAACATATTCTGGAAACGATGGTTAGAACCAGGAGAGAGGGGCATGTTTAGCATATTTTAACTTTTTAGCAATAAATACCCAATTGCACACCGGCACCTTACGGGTCCTTTTGCGTCTATGTCTATGAAGGAATCACATGTGCCATGCTAAAATGCTAAGTAGCGTATTCACAGATTTGATGTCACCACTAATGTTGCTGGATTTTTAAGCTGTATGACTCTGTATGTCCTGGAGATTCCATTGTAGCACTTTTTTCTGGCAAACCCCTGGTTGGATACACTTTCTGCCATCCCTGAGCGCTTTTTGAGGGTCTGCGCACTTTTTGGGGGTTTCAATGGATATGAGCACTTTTTGGGGTTCAAACATGTTCAAACCCATTTTACACCTTTGTATCTATTAAACTCTTGGAGAAATCCACAAAGTTACAGTAGCCCATACTCAAGCTGGTGGAAGCCAATCCTGGAAGCGAGTTTTGCATCTAAATTAGCATCTATCTCCTAATTTATGCTTCCTGGGGAGGATGCACATTGGGACCAAACTCAAAAGAATTGATTCTACATTTTTGACATTTTTGACGTTTTGGACAACTTGGTACCCCGCAATCGGGGCGCAAATTCGCGCAATCAGGGCGCAATTTCGCGCAATCGGGGCGCAATTCAAAAAGTGTACGGGCACTACTGACACTTGCCTCCCAAATGTGGATATTCACTAGCTTAAGTGTCTAGTTCGGCCGATCCAAGTGAATTTGATGACTTACTTGCAGCAGCGGCGAATGATGTTGGTTGCGGAGAGCCTAAGCAGCGTGATCCTAAGCATAGGGTGATTGTGTCAGTGTATGTTGCAAGAATCCTTGGGGATCCGGCTGTTTGAACATGTGGGGGTGCCCGACAAAATGAAACAACCAAATGAGCACTTTTAAAGGGTGTGTAGCACTTTTTTGGAAATGAGCGTTTTTTATTTCTGAGCACTTTTTAGTGTATCGAAGGAAGGTTCAGGTAATCATAACCGTCAGGAAGACTTGAGGGGTTCTGGGCCACTTCAGCTTTGCTTGACTTGTCCGAAGGTTCAAGACGTGGTACGTCCAGAAAAACCGCGGCGGCTTTGACTACTACCTCCAGTGGCCGGGATTCAACATACCAAGTTGGGTGCTGGATGATGCGCGAGCTGGAAAGCTTGGCTCACCTTTGCGACCGCAGGTTGGGCGCGCTGACACCTGTCACAGAAGTCTTTGTATGTACATTGCACTGAAGATCACTGAAGGAAGGTGTCATGTGTTTGGCTTTGCACGGTTCGTTTCTTGCTTCCAAAGAAAGCAATTTATTTGCCAATGTACATTTGCATTGAATCATTGACTCATCACATCCCACCAGGAAGATGCTTTTCTGCGTGCTGTGCCAGCCGATGCAAAATATGTCATCGGAAGCTGCGAGAAGGAGTGGAATATCCCATCAGTGACACGTGCAAGGTATTTTTTGCCGTGAGCGAATGCATTAGAGGGCTTATAGACTTTATTCTTGGATATTCATGGATATTCGTAGATCTTAGACGATACCATGATAATTAAATATGTTATTAATGTTGTTTATATAGTATTCCACGTGTTCGATCACCTCACTTCAGGACTTGCAAACGCTTCAGCATGAGTTGGCTCATGGCCTGTATGGCACGAATGAGAACTACCGCGAAGCGGTGGCCCAAAGTTTGGCCAAGCTTCCGCCCAGACGCTGGGAGGCCAGTCGCCGCGTGCTCCTGGACCTCGGCAGCTTGTCAGAACTTAGGCCAGCTCAAGCCATAACTTGAAGTTATGAAGTTATGAAGTTATGACACATTTGAGTTTGACATATTTGACGTATTGTATATGATATATTTAACAGGTATAACGGTATAACTTGTTAAAGTTGTGAAGTTTTGTCAAATCTCCAGAAAAGCACGGCGACAAGACCAACCAAATTAAATAACATTGGATTCACACGCATTTGAGAATATATTGAACATGATGAGGTAGTGTTTCCAAGTACCAGGCATGAGACAGAAGTATCAGTCATTGACACTGACAGGCGGTCAGAGTCGAGAAGCGGTTGAAGTTACTTGGTAGCCAAGGCTATGTTGACGACAAAGTTATACTGGAAGATGAGATGCAAGCCTACATGATAGAAGGACAGTGCTGCTGAGCTAAAGAATTCTGACCCCTTTCTGGCAGCACAAAGGACCGCCACATGCTTGAATTCCAATTGGCCACGTGATGGGAAATTCTGGGTGCCACAACCGGGCAGCTAGTTCTTGTTGCAGTCGGAGTTTGAGCAGCTTCTGCCAAGTCACGAAAGGTAGCGTCAGCTACCTGAGTTCTCCGTGCTTCAGCACAAGCTTAGGGGGTATTGGGGGGCCAGCCCGTGCAATTCATGGAATTCTCGCCGTTATGTATTGGTCATGGGTTCAATTCCCACGGGTGACGCGGTCACGGGCCCCCACATTAGAGGCACACTTTCCATGAGGGAGATGTCCCTGTAGTCCAGCATAATTGGTATGCTTCAGCCTCAATAACAGTTGCTGCAAGGGGTCTTAAAAAGGGGTTTTAAATAAACCCCTTTTCGTGCATCATTTCACGCAGCACAAGACACAGTGTCATGCAGTCATGCTCTGGATAAAATCATCTTAGACTGCGCAAAAACGTTTTTGGTGTATCATCTTAGGGGCGCAGCATTTTGACACCACTCCTCTCCCACTACACTACCTTTCGTCCGCCTCCGCCTGCTCTCAAGTTGCATGAACCTACTGAATCAATCTGAATCATATATTGTTCTTGTTCGCATACGCGTGAGACAAAATGCAATCATAGGTGCGCATGTTCAGTTGCAAAATGTGATGTCATATGTGTGATCTATGATACATAAATTACTAGTATACAAGATATATAATATATTATATACATATATACATAATTTGTTATGTTTTTAAGATTTGTAAATATATTCATATAAAATCATTTAAATATATATATATATAGATGAATTATTTAAATGTGTGTGCGAAAACATGTGTGTGTGTGTGCGATAATGTGTGTGTGTGCGATAACGTGTGTGTGTGTGTGTGCGATAACGTGTGTGTGTGGGTGGGTGTGCGCTGTCTTTTATTTTTTCTCATTTGCTTCTGCAGCTCAGGCTTATATGAAGAGGACGAGATTGAATGTCCGACCACAGGACGTGACATAATAGTGCTATGACTCAGACTATTACCGTTTGCTTGAGCCTCCCATGTCTTCGTTCCAAAATGTTCCAAAAATGAAAATATCCGCAGAGTTGTTCAAATCATGACTTCCTACGAACACTTTGTGTTCTTCGCAGGACGGGTGCGCGATGAAATTTACCAGACTTTCAATGCCTTTGCCGGAAAGGCTGTTCTGGTTGCCTTGAGCGCGCACCGCTCCTGAAAAAATGTGCTGTTCGAGCCTCGCCGTTTCAAATGTGGTTTGATGTGCATGTTTTTCTCATTGCAAGATTTATACGTTCCTGCTTGTAGGTGGGCTTGGTCTCGTAGAGATATATAGAAAATTATAGAAATATGAATGGGCAGGTTTGTCATGTTTCGTCAAACTGCATTTCTGGTTCGAAACAAACGGAGTGATGATGGTCAAAGAAAACCATGCACCATCTTTAGAATATATTATATATATATAGGTTTCATACGAAAATCCTGGCGCTGACAAGTTGCGATCTGTAGCGCTGCAGGCTTCCTGGCCCAAGGTGTTTGAATTGTTCGCAGGGAACAGCATAGAGGCTAGGAGGAGGCGAAGCGATAAAGTGGCCTGACGAGGAGCAACATGTGATAGATCAATGGTTTGATGTTCGAGGGAACTTGAGCCTTGAGCTGTCTTGAACTGCCAATTCCGCAGGCCAGCATGGGAAGCATGTTTAATGAGGATACGTATATTTCTACAGTCTTAGTCTTGGGGTATTTTGGGGTGATCCTTGCCTTGCAATTCAGCAATAGCATGGAACACGTGCGAAAGGCAATTGTTTGCAGTGAACCCTTTGCCTCATTCTTTTCCAGAATGCAGTGCTATATGGCTTTCGTGTAGTGTGTGGGGGGCTTGAGATGTGCTGTTGATTATGATTATTTAGCGACAGCTAACAGGACCCCGTTCAATAAGCAAAGGGGTGATTATGTATCTTGTTTGCATTGCCTTCCTAATTTTCAATGAAGAAGCCCAGCGCCGCAAGCCAAGTTTTGGTTTTCTATGCCTTGTAAGGTATGATCTGTGGTCAGTTCCAGTTCGCTTTTTTGAGGGGAGAGCGCAGAGAAGCTCACAAGGACTTGCAGTGGTGCAATGGTGCCTGTCTCAACATCAGGCACCGGCATGATTTGTATCCACCAGTGTATATCTGTGTATGCGCTGCGATTGTGTATGGACTGATCTCAGAAGCAGAGTTGATGTCTTGCAATTACGAAAACGGTTTGCGTGACTTTGCTGACATTGGTTCAAACGTGTTCAAACCTCAAGAGTAGCGTTTGCGCTGCTTGACGCTGTTCACCACAAGGCCTTTGCCAACCATGGCCGCCATGGCCCATTCTGCGCTGACTGATGAACCGATGTCTCGCGACTTATTGGATGGACTTGCGCCCCGTCATGAGGGGCGCAACACTCGTATTTTTCGTTTCCTAGCTGCTGCTGGAATGGTCATCGGGCAAGTTTCGCAGAACGTGGCTCTTCCCGTGCTCTCCGACACAATTGGAGCAGCAGGTGGCAGCCCTTACTTCGTGGTTTGGTTGGCTTGTCTCAGTTTCGTGGTGCTCTTCGGTGGAGCTATCGTGATCCGATTTGCCATGCCCGGTGGCCTTTGCTCACGAGATGCCTTGATGTTGTCTTCCGATGCTCAGCGCGATGTTTGGAAGATTGGCTTCTACAACGCTTTGAATGGAATGATGGTCGTGTTTGCTAGTCCTTCCTCACGCACAGCTCCATTCCTGCAAGCCATTCTTGGCAACTTCATGATCCCAATCACCGTCCTTGTCCGTGTGTGGTTCCTTAAGGCATATCCATCCAAGTGGGAAATCGTGGCTGCCATGATCGTAGTTTGCGGAGTGTTCCTTTCAGTTGGCCCCACCATGGTCAACGGCCAGGATGAAGCTGGCAACAGTGTGTTCTGGCCGATGTGGTTCATGTGCGGCTTCATACCAGCTGCCTTCATGAATGTCACAGAAGAGAGCGCCCTTAGCAAGAATCAGAATGCGCGGATGGGGGTCTTCGTCTTTTGGCTCAACTTTTGGCAGTTTGTCTTCGTCTCCTTCTTCTTTTGGGTCGATGTGATTCCTGGCTATGGAATGAGCTCAAACTTGGGTGAATGGGCTCATCACATGCAAAATGGCATGTCGTGCTTCCTCTTCGGCGAGACCTGTGGTGGCAAGGCATTCCTATGGGGCATGATTCAAGACTTGATTCAAGATATGTAGTGATTTTCCGTGTCATTTTCCATCTCTTTTTGCGGATTATGTTATAATTGCAGAGCTTCGCACACCGGCGATGCCTGTAGGGGTCGGGGGAGGGAAAGAGAGAGGGGGATTTCATCTGAACTTGCGGACATGACATGCCGCGAGCTGCATCTTGCTGTTGTCGTTGTTGTCGTCGTCTTCGTCGTCGTCGGCGGCGTCGTCGTCGTCGTTGTTGTTGTTGTTGTTATTGTTGTTATAGCTGTTGCTTCTTGGTCCTGTTGTCGTTAGTTGTCGTTGTTATCTTTGTAGGGCACTTTTTGCAAACCCCCAAAATCGTCAAATCGACGGTTTTTACAAACCCCCAAAAAGCATCAAATAGGCGGTGTTTTCGCGATTTTTCATGTCCTCGGAACAAAAAAACACCGTAAATACCGATGTTTTTGGCTCCACACCAACGCAAAACCACGGTATTTACGAGGTTTTGAGCCTCTGCTAGCAAAAATCACTGTATTTACAGTGTTTTGTCGGGCCTAGCAAAAACACTGGTATTTACGCAGTTTCCAGCATGTTGTCAGAAGCTTTTCTTGGATGCCAAAGGCACAAAAACATTGTAAATTACGTGATCTTTACGCGTGGACAGTACCAACAAATTATGAAAAATTGACAAAAAATCGACCAAAAACGCCCAACAAGGACCTCCAAAACGCATCTTCGAATTTTACCATCTTTTTTCCCACCCCGAACCCCGAAAAACGTGAAACCCCCAGCACCCTGAAGGATTTTCGAAAAGGTCGGTGGCACTGGCGCGCCCCCGGCGGGTACCTAAAGCTATGCCATGCTTAGCAACCACCACCACACGGCGAGGCATCGCCGGAATGGGCTAACGCCCTGGTGCCGCCGCCCCCCCTTTTAGGGTAATCCGGGAAGAAGATGAAGAAGGCTTGGCTAATTTTAAGCGTTTGGAGGTGCTGACAAAGACCGGCCAGTTTTAAACTCTTTGAAGTTTTTACGGTGTTAAGGGTTTGCAAGGGTGGCTAAACACTGCCACGTAGCAGTTTCGAAACCGTAGATAGACCCAAGATGGACTTATAGACCAAAGATAGACCCAGTTTGCGGGCCTTACGCAGCTTGCTACGGTGTTGACAGAGGCGGGAACGCAGGCTGGGCCAATTTTCCGATTTTGGAGGTGCTGACAAAAGATGGCCAGTTTTAAGCGTTTTGACGTTTTAAGAGGTTTTCAAGGGTGGCGAAAAAGTGCTACGTATCAGTTTGTGGGACTTCCGCAGCCTGCTGACAGAGGCGGGAACGCAGGCTGGGCCAATTTTGAGGTTTCAAGGGTGGCCGACAAGTGCCACGTAGCAGTTTCGAAACCGTAGATAGACCCAAGAGATGAAGATAGAGACCAGTGTGGCTTACGCATGCGGCGTTGACAGGGAGCTACTTCGGCCACGGCGGTTTCGAGGGTGGCTTAATACGGCCACGTAACAGTTTCGAAACCACAGATACACCCAAGATAGACCAACTTTGCGAGCGCCGCTTGCCGCGGTGTTGACAGAGGCGGGAACGCAGGCTTGCCCAATTTTAAGCGTTTGGAGGTGCTGACACAAACCGGCCAGATTTAAACTCTTTAAGTTTTAAGGGTTTGTAGAGTTTTAAGCGTTTGCAAGGGTGGCTAAACACTGCCAGTAGCAGTATCGAAACCGTATATAGACCCAAGATAGACCCAGTTTGCGGGGCTTAAGCTTGCTGCGGCGTTGACAGAGGTGGGAACGCAGGCTGGGCCAATTTTAAGCTTGTGGAGGTGCTGACAAAGGCCAGCCAGTTCTGAGCTTTTCAGCTTTTCTAGGTTTTAAGGGTTCTTAAGGGTTTTCCAGGATCGCTAAAAATTGCAACGTAGCAGTTTCGAAACCGTAGATAAACCCAAGATAGATGGAGTTTGCGGGGCTTCCGCAGCCTGCTGCGGCGTTGACAGACGAGGGAACGCAGGCTGGGCAAATTTTACGCTTGTGGGGGTGCTGACAAAGGCTGGCCAGTTTTAAACAAGTTTTAAGATTTGTGAGGTTTTGAAGGGTTTAAAAGTTTTAAGGTTTTTCAAGGGTCGCTATAACAACTGCCATGCAGCAGTGTCGAAACCGTAGATAGACCCAAGAAGCTTGCTAAGGAGCTAGCAACGCTGGCGCAGGGCCACGGCGGCCATCCACTTTGCGAGTGCAGCTTGCTGCGGCGTGGACAGAGGCGCGAGCACATGCAGGCTTGGCCAATTTTAAGCTTTTGGAAGTGCGGCAGGCTTGGCGAATTCTAAGCGTTGGGAGGTGCTGACAAAGGCTGACCAGTTTTAAACTGTTTCAGGTTTTAAGGGTTTTAAGGGTTTTCCAGAATTGCTAACAATGCCACGCAGCAGTGTCGAAACCATAGATTGGTCCATAATGGTCCATATATATAGACCCAGTTTGCTTACGCAGCGTGCCACGGGGCCGTCGAAAGCTGTAGGCTGGTGCTGACAGATGCGGGCCAATGATTGCTCAGGAGCTGGCAAAGCTGGCAAGGGCCACGGCGGCCGTCCACTTTGCGAGCGCAGCTTGCTGCAGCAGCGTGGACAGAGGCGCGGACACATGCAGGCTTGGCCAATTTTAATCAATTTTAAGCTTTTGGAGGTGCGGCAGGCTTGGCCAATTTTAAGCTTTTGGAGGTGCTGGCACAGGCCGGCCAGTTTTAAGCTTTTTGAGGTTAAGGTTTTAAGGGTTCTAAGGCTTTTGACGGGTTGCTAAAAACTGCCACGTAGCAGCTTCGAAACCGTAGATAGACCCAAGATAGACTATAGTTTGCTTACGCAGCGTTTTTTGAGGTTTTAACGGTTTTAACGGTTTTCAAGGGCGTCTAAAAACTGACACGTAGCAGTTTGGAAACCTTATATGGACCCACCTGCTGCGGCATTGACAGAGGCGGGAACGCAGGCTTGGCCAAGTTTAAGCTTTTGGAGGTGCTGAAAAAGGCCGGCCAGTTTGAAGCTTTTTGAGGTTTTAAGGATTTTTTTTTACGGTTTTACTTGTATCTAACACCTGCTTCGGGTACTCTCTTGTTAGGTGTCTTTCTAGCAAAAACATCATTATAACAACCCCACCAAAACACCATAAAACCAATAAACAAACAAGAAGCACCAAATCAACCCCATGGGATTTTGATTGGTTTGTTGGGTTTTTGCATGTTTTCTTAAGACATTTAAGACTAAAGCAATCAGGGCTTGTGGGATGACATACTCAGATGATGACAATGGATGGTGACATGAGCGCTGATTGAAAGAATGGGTTCAGTCCAAGCCTCGCCATTTGTGTCAAGGCAGGATGCCCACCTCCAAGAGAAAGGGTATTCCTGGAAAATGTTCACCCCCAAAGGATTATATTCACCATCCCACCCAATCAAAGCACCATCCCAACCCAACCACTACATCACCCCAAACATTAGGATGATCCATGATCATTGTCATCATTCAAATATTCAAGCCAAAATTTCTTTAGATGACACATGTTCCCCCGCAAAAACCAAAACAAACACCCCATAGTTTACAATGCTGGTAAAAAAAGCGGCATTCTGTTCCACCATTTCAATTTCCAAAAGTTGTGCTTGGACAGCCCTGGGCAGCTTTCATCATTTGTGGGATTTTGGTGGGGTTTTTGGTGGGCTTTTGATTGGCTTTTAGTGAGGTTGATTGGGAATTATATAATTGTGGTTTGATTCTTCATCGGCCAATTTTTGGGATTTTGGTGTGATTTTGATGGGGTTGAATGGGAATCAATTGGTTTCGGTTACAACCATGGATGTTGGCACTGACCAATTTTTGGGATTTTGGGTTTTGATGGGGTTATGGTGGGGTTTTGATGGAGTTTTAGTGGCAATCAAGTAGGGATGTTGTCTTGTTCTTGCGGGAAATCATGAGGCCACCAAAAAACAATGCAACCCACCATTGGAATCTAACAATGCGTTGCCAAAAACCAAATTGACACCCGCCTCAACACCCGTAAACCCAAAGCATTTACAGAGTTTTTAGCTGGTGATTGGATACAGTTTTGCTGGCCCAAGCCAAGCACTGTAGGAGGTTAACTGCCATGGCTAGCAGTGATGAGATTCATGATGCTGAAAGAATACATGTTTGATTTGTGCTGAATGCCAGTGATTTGATTGTGATTTTCCATGATTTATTTAAGGCTTTCTGGCGTGTTCCAGGGCTTGAGTGGGAACAAATTGGGTTTCCACTGGGAAACGTGTGGGCCTAGAAAAATCAAGAGATACCATAACAGATCGGTATTGCAAGCAGGCCTATGATTTTAAGGGTTTTCAAAGGTGGTAGTAGGTTCGAAACCTTAAAGACCCAAGATAGACCCAGTTTGCTTACGCCGCGTGCCACGGCGGCCGTCGAAAGCTGTAGGCTGGTGCTGACAGAGGCAGGCCAATGATTGCTAAGGAGCTGGCAACGCTGGCACGGGTAGCGCGTCGAAAGCTGTAGGCTGGTGACAGAGACAAACCAATGATTGCCAAGGAGCTAGCAAAGCTTGCGCAAGTAAGGCCACAGTTTCGAAACCATAGATAGACGCAAGGTAGACCCAGTTTGCGGGGCTTATGCAGCCTGCTGCTGACAGAAGCGGGAACGCAGGCTTGGCCAATTTTAAGTTTTTGGAGGTGCTGACAAGGCTGGCACTTTTTTAAGTTTTTTGAAGTTTTAAGGGTTTTAAGGCTTTTCAAGGGTGGTTAAAGACTGCCACGTAGCAGTTTCGAAACCGTAATTAGATAGACCCAGGATAGACCCAGTTTGCTTACGCAGCGTGCCACGGCGGCCGTTGAAAGCTGTAGGCTGGCGCTGACAGAGGTAGGCCAATGATTGCTAAGGAGCTGGCAAAGCTGGGGTCGGCGGATAATATGTTAATAGGAACTGTGGCCAGGGTATGCCAGGGTAAGAACAGTCAAGGATCTTTATTCTTGCATACATGCTGTCCTACGTGTCCACCGGCTTCCTCCTGAAATTCACATCCAGTGCAACATGGCAGGCAGTGGTTGTATCCCTGGTTGGTCCCCTTGGCATCCTATGGTGGGCAGGCTTCGACGCAACGCCACAATTTCACTGGGGTCCTTCCTGGGGTAAGGACAAGACCTTTGCCGTTCTCGGGCTCGCAGTGATGCTTCCAGGGATTGTGTTTTTCAAACTGGCTGGAAAGCTTGCAAAAATTTGAAGCAAGCGCGCCTCGCAGCTCATGCCTTAGGCACTGCGAGTTTTTGCCTCGATAGTCACTTGGGCTATTGTTAATCGGCAACCGTTTTGTAAGGACCAACAGGCTGACAATGCCATTAGCAAACCACTGATCGCGGACATGGAAAAAATTGAGATTTACATAGATTTGCTATTTGTCCATGGGTTTGTAGACCTATGAAGTTCATAGAAACCCCTGGCTGTTCTCACTGAATGTGCTCGAAGAGATTACATGCAAAGACAAGCAGCATCAAACAGCTGCAGTCCATCCCTTCATCCCATCTAACTGCAGGCTGATGTTGCTGCATGCTGCCGTTGGAATGACGCGTCGGGAACCCAAGATGTGCTGCACGGTAAAACTATGTAAAACTAATGCATTGAATTGGGCCTGAAACACAGCCGTAGAATGTCGTAGACTGGTTCGCTTCGTTGGTGCAGCTCGGCTCAAAGACAAGCTGCGACTGGTGCCCTGCCATGGCAGAGGACAAGTGGGGGTATTGCACACATGGTGGAAACGGAGAAAGGTGGCTCTCGGGTTAGTAGCGTAGCACCATTCACCATTCAGGATAATCAGGATAGCTACTGTAGCATTAGGCTGGATTGTTCCTAGTGCCTTTGGATCTGAGAAAGCGCATTGTCCACATGAGTTTGCTCCGACGAATTGTAGGTGCCTACGCGTTCCTTGTATGTTTTTTTTGCAGTCGTGCACGAATTGTGTCGTGCATCCATATCAATTTTCCATTTGCCTAATCATTGTGATGGTGTTGCATGTTGAAACGTGATGTAGGACGGATATTTGAGAATAGAGGAGGCGCCGGCCCGGGCCACACTCATTTCATCCAGACACAACTTGGATCAACTTATACAGGGTCTTGGGCAGTATTGCGATGCATTGCGCTCGCTTCTGTTACAAAAAAACGTTTTCTTGATAAGATGCCGATCAAGTTGCTGGCAAAGGCAATTACAATATATATATATATAATTTATGTATATATATATACAGTTGGGTTGGTTTTGATGGGATTTATGCATGAGGCTGGCAAGATCGGGAACATTTGTACTTATAAGATGCTGTAAGTGGGGCGGAGGATTGTCACACTAAGGATTTGGGGAATTCGCAGGTATCATGACACGTCAAGTATTGTCAAGTCCTGCCAGGGCTTTGCCTCTGCCAGCTCACCAAAGGTGGCTGAGTTTTTTCACTGTGAAGATTGGTGACTGGCGCGTCAACATAACAAAATATATCAGAATATGAAAACAGTGAAAACATTGAAAACGACTCCTTTGCTGATTAGAATTGTGTGTTTGATGTGTTTGTATGATTGCCCAAGCGTGTTGTCCGTCCCAACTCTGCCAGGCGCAAGGACGGTCACTAAAGGTGCATGACCATGCCAAGCGGCATTCAAACCTCACCATGATCAACATGGGTCTCAGCAAGCAGGCGGCCAAGACATTTACACAGTTTATATCAGCTTGAATCACTTTGTATGTGCTCAATTTTCTTTAAGTTCTTGGATTTGGCATTGGCGTAGAAGCAGTCCCCATGATTTGCCAAAGTTAGCTTTGAAGGGTATGGTGATTCAATCCTATTGCTAGCAAATAGAGCACATTCAAGGGTACCCAACTGCAGACGCATAGATACGCATAGTAATGCATACCCAGTAGTAGATTGTGGTAGATGGATAGCATTGGATAGCTAATAGCTGTGAAATGTCCCGAGCTTTGAGTGTTGGATCATGTCGCCTGGGAGGTGCCCAACAAAGACAGCGCGGCACGAGACCATTTGGCAAACGAACGCACGTTTCTGGCCTGGCTTCGCACCGGGCTTTCCTTGGCAGGTTCGTGGAGACATGTGGAGAATGAGGGGCCGAGACGATTCGGGATGAGTCAGGACTGCATCGAAGTTTCAGTATAGAATCATAGAAAAATCGCATCCTTTTACATCCTCTTTCAATATGTATAATTATATGAATTATATGATATTATATGATATCATGATGCAAGATAATGCAAGCCGATAAGCTGATTACTTGGGAGCATGCTACAGTCCGGGATCACAAATGATCATGTTTGCGCATGGCTCTGGCAGGCAGCTCCAAGCTCCGTAAACCAGCTGCTAAACCAAGGGTTTCATGCGTTTTGTACCAATCCAATATATGTTGAACGGCGTTGACATCGTTACACAGTTGCATTCTTTAGAGCAGAGCTGGAGAAATTAAATGGCTAGCACTACGGAAGTTTTTTCGTGTCCAGATGTTTCAAAGCGTTGAGGTCATACATAGGTCATACCATAGCACACTGGGGTGCGTTATTTTGTGAATGCAGCCATTGCCGCGAATCTTGAAGTCTCGCGCTGTATGAATGGACGGTATACCGAAGCTCGCTGCATTGCAAAATATATTGGTTTCGTATGGATTTGCAGTGTGGTTTCTTTCACCATTCCATCAAAATTTCCGCCTGCGCCTGAAAAAAGGTGCAGGCTTTGGAGTGATAAAGTTCCTCCCGGGAGCACGGGTCCAAGAACCAAAGCATTCCTGCTGGGCCAACTTCCCAGCAGGTGGAAAAGGACATAGATGGGAGTTTGTCTTTGTGAGGTGTTTTTTCCCCTGCTGCATCAATTTAACATGACTTTACCATGTTTTACAATCTTTTGCCACGTCATTTAATGTCATTTAGTCACGGCCTGGTTTTGCTGAGGTCTCGTCAAACTTGATCTTAGGGTTCTTTTTGATCGGTGTGGGCATTTGTGTCTTGGCCTTTGGTGCCCTCAGGCGAGATGGGGGTCTTCGGCACATCATACTAAAACTGTAAGCCATTTTGTGACAGTTGGCCACAGATTTGAGTGCAGATTGCAGATTTGAACTGCCAGTGTCTATTTCAACTGTATATCAAAGTAGCCCTTTGTAGAGAAACAGGGCTGAACTGGCTTGAACAATGAGCAGAGATGAGCAGAGAATGTTTTGGCCATGCGCCATTCCAAAGAAGCGCAAGCATACTCAAACCTGATACTATCTCGATCTATCTCGCTTGCTGATGTTATGGATCGTGTTGACTCAACGATGACAGTCCTAATAATTACTGGTCATCAATTTAGGTGTGATTTACACATGTCTTACCTGTGTCAGGTACTTTGATGTGATGGCAGCTCTTGAGAACGGCGTGTTCGCGATCGATACGGGCGCCACTGCGTTTTTTTTGGCAAACAAGTTTGTTGGAGGGGACGCGTGCAGAAACTTGAAACACTCTTGAAAGTACGGCAAAGTAGGGTAGCGCTTCCCCGGCTATTTGCAGAATACCAGGTGGCCCAGTCACAGAATGTCACAGACACCGAAGGCAACGATATCCATATTCTGTGGAATGAACATTTAATGTCTACTTGCACTGGCACCTTGCAATTTCATGCCAGTCTCGTTCTACATTATATATATATATATACATATTAATTGCCATGATTGAATCCTGAGCCATCTGTGAAACGCATTACTTTGTGGAGGGGCAGGGTGAGGTCCAATGTCCCAAAGCATCTACATTCGGATCAAAGTATGCCCAACATCTTGTACCGACAAGACATGAACAACTTTTGCATACTTTTGCATACTTTTGCACCATGCCGGACCATGCGAAAGATTTTAGTAGTTGACTCGCAAGTTGAAGCAAGCCATTCCATTTACACCCTTGGGGTGACTATTCCCCCTCTGCATCACTCCAACATGTTCCGACCATGTGTTAGCAATGAGTGGAGGTGGCGTGCTGCTGGTTTGTGGCGCAACAGCCGCCTTGGTTTTCTTGGCACCTCGGCACACAGTAGCCAAGTCTAGCCGTGTGGTTCTTAGATGTTCTTAGGTGTTCAGCAGGTGTTCTTCGTGTATTTTATTTGATCACTGTCACTCCATCTCGCCCTAGTTACATCTAGTTACCGTCTAGTTGGTGTCCTGGCATGTCCTGGCCCAGTTGGATTCTACGGCTATGATGGTGAATTCAACAGCTTCTGAATCAGCATGGAACGTTCGAAGCTTGCGTCGACCACACTGAGGCATTGATCATTGGCATCGTTCACATTCTGCGACATCGGTGACGGTCACTCCTGGACATAAGCTGTCAAAATTAGCGCATGGCATGACTGACACGGTCCTTGATGCAGCACCCTTTGCAACCATCCTGCGTGGCGCACCATCTAGGCATATCAGCCCAAGAGACATAAAATAGAGGGAGAGAGTATGCTGCTATATATATATATTATGTTGCTGCCAAAGTTTCGATCCATTCTGCGCAAACAGCTTGTTGACAGAAGCTAGTTGTGCCCTTCCATGCGCTTTCAAGCCCTTTCCTTGCCAGAGAGATCCCAGGAAATTCCTGGATCATACAGGAGATGCGGCTTGCTATAGCCTGCCTGACTTACAACATTTTAAAACCATTTAAAACCTTGATAATGATTCCAATGCCCCATTTCTTCCATGAGCCCGTTTGTGACTGGCTTCTGCTGGACGTGGTTTCGATGGTCAAGTGTTTGAGTGCGAGAAGACTTCTCCCCAAAGCAGCTGGCTTTATGGTGATCTGTGCTGATCATTGTGGCTCAAGGCTTTTTCGACAGCCACGTGAGCCAAGAGTAAGACCAAACCATTGTCACAAGCAACTGATTCATTGGACTTCCAAACATACGCAGGTCTATTTGCAACCCAGCCGCATTTTATGGCCATGCCGTGCTTGAGCACATGGCCTTGTTAACACAGGTGGGTAGAGCAGTCCTGTCCCATGCGTGTTCCATCGTGTTCCATCCCCAGTCCAATATATATTTTTATGTTCAACCCAAGCTTATTCCAAGGACTTCCTAGGTTTACTATTGCTATACCATGCGTTTCTCTTCCCATCAGCTGTCGAGGAGGCATGGCTTGCAAAACAAAACGTAAGGTGCAGCACGCACCTCCCAGTCATGAGGGGCAACTCTGGCTGGATTTAAGCAATTCTGTGGCAGCTACTGTACAGCATATTTGGATACATGTGTATTTATATATATATATAATATAGTATAGGATATTTTAGTAGAGCCAATTTCCTGGTTCCATGATATTTGCTGTATATATATGTTATTCAAAGTATGGTAGTCCTTCAAAGCATGTCGGCAACAATCTCATGTTATCAACACAGTTTACCTTCACCTGAGCTATATCACACGCTGTCACCGACCCACTGTAAGGCACATCCCATTTTCAAAGCAGATCAGTTATGCGCCTCTTGGTGCTGTTTCTCATTGGTGTGCTGAAAATGCCAGGCCAGAACCAAGAGCTTTGCATGATGATGCATGATGTATAATGTCGCTGTAGCAGACACATACAGCACATGTCCAGTTAGTTGAAGCTTCCTTGGCTTTCCCAGTCTGACCTGCACTCTGGCTTTGCAAGCGTCACAAACCGAGTTTGGCTTCTCGCTCGTCTCTTGCCGACTAGGTCATCAGCTTGGCTTTACGGTGCTTAGTCAGCAGGCACGAAGTTCTTCCTTCAATATTCATCAGGCACATACTCGTAAATTGAATGACCTAGCCGTGGCTTGGCTGCAGCCAAACAGAGCACCCAGTTGCAAGATGCCTGACGAAGCCAAACATATGCAAAATATTTCGATCATTTCCATACTTGTTGGACCAGCTTGCCAAGCAGAAATGGTTGAAGTGGAATGCTTCTGATTTGCTGCCGTTTCAGTCAATGTCAGTCAGCTTTTTCGAATATTTGCCAACTATAGCTATTACTATAACATACTATAACTGACATTAACTGACTATTATTTTGTATATACGTAATTATATATGACATCGTCGTGTCTCCGGAAGATTTTGCTTCTTCCGAAGTTGCCTGAAATGATTCACTGGCTCGGAACATGAGCCTCCAAGAGTTAGATATATAATATAGGCCGATAGGCCAAAGGAAATTTCCAGCCTTTACATGGCTTCATTTATTAAATATAGATTTTCTAGATGACTGAGCATACTGAACCCCAACCTTGGATAACCTTGGTAAAGCCCTCCTTCATGGAGCAAAGGCTCGAGGTGATGTCCAAGCGGCACTTGAAGAGCTTCGAAAACTATTGCCTCGGGCCTCCTCGAACCCTGGCCTGGAGAGTGATTGTGGTGAACACCGAATCTGAGGATATTGCCGCAATGGACAGCAATGGACAGCTATGGACGGCTATGGACGGCTATGAATGCGTTGCTGACATTTGTATCTTACAAAAATTCCGACTTGGCGTCACTAGGGCTGCTGCACGCCGAAACAGACGAGTGGCAAGGCAAACAACTCAGAACGCGTGTCCCCATTCTACATCAATGAGTGAATGCCCAAGCGGAACATGCCACATTGAATGACTTGTGGAAAAGCACGTGAGCGGCAAACCACAAAGACTGTTTACCGAAACTCATGGAATCTCATGGACAATGCGATCTACCTGACGCACATTTAGGATGGGAGGCAGACGCCCCATGAAGCCTGTAACCTGTAACTTTCCAAAAATTGTCAAGCTGCTAGCCATTCGAGATTCACATTGTCCAAAGTTGTGCCCAGTGCCTCCTAGGACCCTCAAACGACTCCTTTACAACACTGGCATCAAAGCTTGTGCAAACGCTGGCGATTTGGAGAAGGCGCGATGCAGATGCGGCAGATGCTAAGAAAGTTGGACTCTTTGGGTCCGTGATATCCATTGGGCGAGGCTTCAAGAATGGTTTACTGGTATAGAAATGTATAGAATAAGTGTGCGACAGTGTGCAACAAAGTCAAAGGGATGAAGAAGATGAAAAGGATTGAAAAGGGATACGAGATGATCACTCGCATCCGAATACGTGCCAAGTATCAAGATGGTAACAGACGACGATAATTGTTTTTATGTTTGTTCAGTATGTATGAAGTTCTTTTTGGTCTCTGCCCTGCAAGGCAGAACTGGTCTTCTCTGAAATGCTGGAGCAAGGCATAGAACCCAACAGAAAAGGCTTTGGCAGCATGGCTGAAGAAACCGTAGTTAAGGGTTCCCTTGACGAGGACTGGAGCAATTGTAAAGGCCCACCAGTACACGTCCAATTCAGGCTGATCTACAAACAGCCAACAATTCATTTATATAGAGATTATAGAGATCCCAGAGTGCCAGTGTTCGTTGAATTTAATTTATGAAGTCCAGAAAGGTTTTGGCACACCGATGATGCATGGACACTACTGCTATTCTGCTACTGCCACAACCTGCCACTGTTTCTGAGGAAAGATGATTGAAGCAGCGGCCAGCGCGGGCAACCTGTCTGCTGCAGAGGATTGGTTCAGGCCACAGGGTCGGCGGGCAAGTCTCTTTGCATTTGCTCAAGAAACAGTAGGGAGGATTGTTCGAGCTCCTGGCTCCACATCATTCCATCTCCATACATCTCCCACTTCCATTCACTTCCATTCACTTCCATTCACTTCCATTCACTTCCATTTGTGCAGGACCTGGTCATCTTCATTTTTTTGGCTTTGCAGGCGAAGTGCGGGACTCTGCGGCGCAGAGGTTGGCCTGCTTAAGTGTTCATTGCTCATCAACTGCTCACCGTACAAAAGCCATCAGAAGCGCGGCAAAAGTGCTCTAGGATCTCTAGGTCAGACTTAATATTATAATTACTTGTACTTGAATCGCTTTCATGGCACTAGCAGAAACTTTTTGTTGGCACTTTGATTTCTCTGAGTCACACTGTGAAGGTTCATGGCTTTTCCAGCGACCAAGAGGAACAACCTTCGCTAGCTTTCATGAGCTATGCACACTTTACTTTGTTATGCTTTCTCCAATTCACCGTGTTGAATCTGCGCGAGCCAGGAGCCAGAATGTAATATGGTGTAATTCCATGATTTTGACATATTTTGACTGAGTCTTCTCATGCCATCAGCGTGCCAGCACATGCCATTGCTACCCATTGCTACCCATTATTCAACTACATGGAGGCGGTGCACTTCAATTTGCTGATCGGAGCTGCAGCGAAGGCACAGACATCGCTACTGATGTTTGCCTTGGCTTTGATCACGATGATTCACGATGAATGGATTTGATCCCAACAGATGCCTCGTCCCGATGGGTATGGTCTATACATGTCTATACATGTCTATACATGTCTATACATGTCTATACATGTCTATACATGTCTATACATGTCTATACTATACTACTTATATAACTTATATATCTATACTGTACAGTGTACAGTCACGAATAGTTGGTGTGTGACGCCTCCCCCATTGTTGGGGTCAACTTAACCCGGGTGAGAATAGATGCAGTCTGCAGATGTCTGCAGGGATTTTTGTTCCAAGCGTGATGTGATGTGATTGTTGCAGATGGAAACAAATTCCCTCCATGATTGTTCAAGAAGATGTTTTTGAGGCAAGAAATGTGGAAGCTGCAGGGACATGGTTTCAGGAGCAGTCGTTGGTTTTTTTCTTTGTTTCTTTGTGCTGCCCAAATCAGATGTGGCAAGCCTAGGTCAGGACCTAGGTGAACGGATTCTGTGTTCGGATTCTGTAGGTCCTCCTACAGGTCCTATCACATGTACAATGTACAACTGTATAATTATAAATTGTATAACAATTAGATTCAATTATATAATATGCACATTAATTAGTTTCGTAATACCATGTTCTAAGATATAACACACATATATATATATATATACATATTTTTGTATGTATATCTTAAAAACTCTTCAAATTGGACACATTGAACGGATTTGAAAGGGACAGTATGCGCTAGGCACATTTCATACATTTGCATAGCACGGTGTCTCGATGTTATGACTGTTATGTCTCACTGAAGTATCACCATCTTTAGCATCAATCACGTCTATCACCTATACTGTGAACTACGGTTGATGGCCTCAGCAGTCTGACCATCAGCTAGTTGGGTCTAGGAGCTTCTTCGTAACGGCGTCCAGCCAGACAAGTTCACACTGTGGAGCTTGTTGGAGGCTGCCATGTTGGGACAAGGATGCTTTGTTTCATTTCATATTTGCAGTGTTGGAACCTCTCGAACAATGTTGAATGGCGCCAAGTCACATCAAAGCTTGCAGAAAGTTCTTGAGCATCAGGCCTGTTCTTCCACTGGAGACGTGGCAAAGGCAACCTCCTTCGTGGCAAAGTGGAGATCACTTGGTCGAAGGCTTAGAAAGGTCACGCAAAGCTATGCAAAGCTGCTCAAACTTGGCACTTTTCATCTTCACCACACTTGCCATTTGTGCGCGTGAAGTTTCCTGATATCAAGTCGCAGCCGCTGCATCACCCCCATCATCGGGGTCAAGATGGGTCAAGGTAGACAGGCGATGACTTTGCATCATTTTCGTGTAGCTGAGGCCTGCAGGTCACGGATGAGCACAGGGCTGCTCTACGAAAGGTGTGGCCCTTTGCTTCTAGGGACCTGCCGCAGGGCCAGACATCCGCTTCGTGGATAGTTCGTCTTTTTCTTAGTGTACAAACGCTGAACAGATTCTGGCCAAGCTTCCCCACGGGTTGTAGTTGGGTAGCAATTGCTGACAGCAAGTTGTTTTTTTTGGCCGTGCCACCGCTCCTCGCCTTACTTGTGACATCTTGTGACCAGGGTAGCCGTGGAGAGAGGTGAACCCATCCTGAACCTGAATCTCGATTTACGGATCTTTCTACTGCTGTATCGTTTCAGTCTGAACAGTGTGAAGGCATGTGAAGGCTAAAGTGAAGCGTAATTTCCGCTGTTTGATCAGGTCTACGTGAAGAACAACGATCTGGAAGCTGTGGAAGAACAGATTCGGAAGCTCGAAAAGCCAGTCGCTTGACTGCTTTTGGCTGAAGTAGATTCAGCAGCATTGTCAATATAAAAAATCTAAATATAAATAAATAAATAAATATATATATATATTATACGCATATATTCTATCAGATTCTATCATATCGGTACTGTATCAATCAATACTTCAATGCTTTTTCCCTCATGCAAAAGCAGCCTGTTGCCAGCAAGCCCGCAGTTAATCACCTGAAGTCCTGTTCGTTAGAGGTGTGATAACTATTGACATCCCATTTGAATGCCTTTTGTATATATATATATATATGCCTTTGGTAATTTTGCGAGCGTGCAGCATATAGTTGCATAAACCAAGTTGGTGTAGAGTCTGTTGTACCTCTTCACCAAACTCCCAAGCCCAAGCCCAACTCGACCTTTTGTGAAGGGCCTGAAAGACTATGGCATGGTGGTGGATGCAGCCGCACGATGCGGGAACCTCACCGCTGCCGAGTTCTGGTTCCAAGAAGCAGAGGCGGCTGGAATTCAGCCTCGTATCTTGGCTTCTATGGCTTCGTTTTTTTTGCGGGCTATGAAATGATTGGAAGGAAACTGGTTCATTTTAGATTTGGTGGGTCAGCTTCTCCAGGTTCATTCCCACCGAGCAACGGATGTGCTATGGGTCTTGTGGGCGTCCTTTTGACGTTGCCCCACGAAGTAGAAAGAGTGTCGCAGCATGTCGCAGCATGTCGCAGCCGTGCAGCTAAGTCCTGCTCCATGCACCAGGCAATGCTTATGCCATCTTGGTGACCCTGATGTTTGCGGCGGCAAGGGCAGCTGACGTGGCTAGGTGTGAGCATTGGTTCCAAGCCGCAACAGAGGCAAGGTTACAGCCCAGTGGGGCCATGTACACAGCCCTGGTCACTTCCGCTGCAGACTCGTGGATGCAAGATATTGTTTCTGTTTTTACTTGACTCCAAGTTGACAGGTCGCACCTTCCCATATTCTGATTCCGGGCATAGCTAAATGCAACCTAATAACATGATTCAAAGTTTGCAACGACTTCAAAACATGATGCATCTGAGCCGCTGTGCCTTGGGGATTTGACACCTGGGGTAACTACTGTCTGCCCTGGGGTAACTCGGTGTGCCTTGCGGTTGGGGTAACTAATGGGTAAATGGGGTAACTTAGGGCGTCTGCTAGTATGTTTCATTGTGTTTCTTACGTGTTGAAATGGTGTTCCATTGTTTTCAAATTGTTGGCCCATGTTTTTGCTGCTGATGGTGCGGGTGGTTCTGGTGCTGGTGCTGCTGGTGCTGGGCTGCTGGTGCTGCTGCTGCTGATGGTGGTGGTGCAAAGGGATGTACAGTACATGTGTATGATTGTTTTATGATGTTTTACACGTTCTCACCGTTCTTTGTTCTAAACCTTCCAGACACACAGTGCTTCCTCGTGCTTCCTGGTCACTTGCTGTTAGTCCTATCCGGTTGAAGTTGTTCGTCATGGTCTTTGAGCATTTAGCATATTTGGCAAGCGCATCAGGCGTCAGACATCATCAACTGAGCCGAGGAGAGCCTAGATCTAGTTGCTGCGGAGCATTGGCTCACACTTTGCAGGGCCCAGCTGGGGCCTGGCGGGTCAGAGGAGGCAACGAATGCAGCCCTGCGAGCAGCAGGGCTCCGAGGAGATTTGGAGACGGCAGAGAAGTGGGCTGAGATTCTGTTAGAGGATGGGCATCCTGGCAAGGATTTGATTTAAGGATATTTAAGGATTTACTTCAAGATTCTAAAGAGTTTACGGAAGATGCCAATCCCTGTCCACATGGAGAGGTTTTGGAATCGGTCGATTTCGAAGGGGGAGTCATGATGAGGGGGGTGCTAAGAGTGTCGTATATAGTATATGATATATAATATGAAATAGAATATGATGATATTTGATCATGTGCTTGGATGTGCTTGGTGTATCATTTGTGTATTCATTTGTCGCATTGGAAAGTTTCGAAACCCCTAATTAATTACTGTCGGGAATCCTATGCATGATAATCTGATATGAAGCTGAGCCAATGGAGAGCCGCGTTAGGTCGCGTAAACTTCACACTGCAACATGCAGAAGCGGTTGAAACCTGCCAAGGAGAAAACTTGACGGCTACTCGTATCGTGCTTTGCTAACGGCGGCGGCGCGGGGCCGCAACACTGTGGCAGCCCAGAGATGGTTCCGTCGAGCAACAAGGGAGGGAGAGGCTCAAACCCTGGTATGCTTTCACGGCAATAAGACAATTGTATACAATTGTATGAATGACGTTTTAAATGCAACGTTCGCCTGCCGGATCATCGCTGCATGATTGGTATTATCTATATGATCGAAGGAAGTTTAGAAGTCAAACTTCCGACAATATGGAGAGGCAGAGACGAGAAAGAGACAGAAGAGAAGAAGTCAGAGAAGAGAAAAGCAGAAGCAAGAAGATGAAGGTGCGCGAAAAGGTAGAAAAGTTGCGAACACTGTGTCTTTCCAATGTTTTGTGGCTCCGGAGGGCCGAAAAGTAGGCTCTCTAAAGCGGCCGGTGCGGAGCCATCTGGGGAGATGAGAGATGAAAAATTGCATCCCATTGTGGCGCGAAGCAAGTCAAAAGGCCAACGGAGCTATTTTGCCAGTTGAAGTTGAGATGTTGAAAAAGCCCACGCCGACGTGGCGCGAAGTACATTTCGAAACCAAAATGTGAAAAATACCATGGGTTTGGAGCACTTTTGGAAGTTGAGATGTTGAAAAAGTGCACGGCGTTGTCGCGGGAAGCACATTTCCAAGTCAAAATGGTAAAAACACACCACGTCCACGTTCGGACTATTTTTGGACGTTCAAGCGCCGTTTTTCGTGGCAAGGGAAGTGGATTCCGCACCTTTTGAAAAGAGAGGGGGACGCCCCACGCCCGTGTAATTTCCATATAAATCACTATTTTTGACAAAGTCCCTATATAATGAGTTTTAAGACATGTTCTCATTGCTGCAGGTTGTATCGCATGACTTGTCACATTATGTATGTATATTTTTGCTCCAGTCCGTAGTTCGTGCCCTATCCTTCTAAGCTACTTGGTGCGTGTGCCCGTCATGCCTTTGGAAGCGGAAGATATGACGTATGACGATTTGAAGGAAGTAACCGAAGGATTAACATTACGCAGCATTCCTGCTAGTGTTTCTCCTGAGCTACCCAGAAGTTCTTTTGAATGGGATGCCTTCCCGAAGGATGATTTCAACACATCGGAGTCCCCAATGGTCCATTTCTATGACATCATCTTTGGGTATGAAAATGCGATTGACTTTGATGCCTTGGGAAAAGCGTACAAGAATGCTTGCGACAGACATGGCCTACAGCTACTACCAGATCCCTTCGGCCTCAAGAAGCAAGTCTCCCCCGACACCCGTATGCAAATCGTCATCTTGAAAGACACAGACAGCAACCATGCCATCTTGAAGCATATGACTTGCCCAGAGAAGGTTAAACCCAATATGGTTCGCTCCCTTGTGTACGGCACCCCCTACCGCGCCAAATGGATGACCCAAAACCCCAAAGTTGGAAGAAAGGTTTTGCACTACTGTCTTGAAGGACTAGGAGGTCGCCAGTTCAAATGCTTTGAGTTGTCCAGTGCCGCTACCCGCAAACCCGCAAAGGCAGGTGCATTTGAAGACAAAGACGATGATGAAATTGATGCAGGTTTTGACTATATCCTCAAGTATGGCCCTAGGTTTGCCTCTGAAAATGCCCAGCTTCGATGGCAAACCAAAAACACCAGGAAGGTTGATTCCCCCATCTATGGTTGGCCTACGGCTTTGGTTGACAAAGATCTGTGCAACTTATCCACGGACGGTGCCTTGGCCCGGAAGGAATTCAATTGGCCTATCCCCCTGACCATTCCGTACTACCAGCCTTGGTTGACGAAGATCTTGGAGGAGATGTGGGACTTTGATCAATCGGCCCTTTTGCTTTTAGGTGAGGCAGGAGTAGGCAAGAGCCCCTGAGGCAGAAGTATTTTGATAGCACAAGCACGGCACAATAAGACTCGCTTCAAGGCAGAAGGTTCCCCTTGTATCCGTTGTACTCCAGAGATTGACTTCTTGAGAGGTGAGCCCGGATCCATCCTCATGGGAGACTTCCATCTTTGTCCTTGTTGAGTATGAAGATGGTGAAGGCCTTCCTTGACGTGGGATTGTACGAATCCATGGCATGGGCTAGGTGGGGGGCAACAAAGTGGGTTCAGAACGAACCCAGGGCAGTAGCAGACAGTAGCTATGACGACGGAGTGCCATTGCCCCCAAGCTTCATGAATGAAGTCTCCTTTGAAACCTTTTGGAAGATCATCCGCCCCGCTGTCACTGAACAAGCCACCCCCGCACACATGGACGCAATTTTCAAACGTGGTGCTTTCTTAGTGAACTCCAAGGAGCACCTGTACTACCGCCCGGCAGGAATCAACAAGGACCCTGTGCGCCGTATTTCCATGCCAATTTGTGAGTACCTCACTGAGGAAGGGAAACAGGTCTATGAAGGGAAACAGGTCTATGGGAGGTTCAAGGATGGCGAAAAGGATATGCCTGAATGTTTCGAGGAGGAGATTCAGAAAGAGCAGGAGTGGATTGAGATGATCATGAAAAAAATCCTTAAAAGAAGGAAGGCAACCAAGCAAGACAAGGAACAAGAAGAGAGACTTGTAGCAATTCGACAAGGTTTGTTTGGTGACCGTCCTGCAGCAGAACCCAGTGCCACAGACAGAATGGAGGTAGGTGAGAAGGAAAGGGTCAAGGTAAAGAGGGAGCGTGAGGAGGAGAAGGCAAAGGATGTCCGGGAAATGCCAACGACAAGTACCCGAAGAACTAACTTTTCAACCCGAAAGAGGCCGGCGGCGGCCCAGAGAAACCGGGAGAGCGAAGATGGCGGAAAATGAGGTCGGCCCCTAGGAGACCAAAAAAAAACAAAGACATGCCCCCAATGCCTACAGTCTCTAGAAATCTTTATTTATTTTTGTTTTTTTGGGTCTTTTTTGTTTTTTGTTTATTTAGACCTTTGTGGCCTATTTTGGCATATTTGGGCATATTGTGGCCTATTGTGGCGCTTTGATGATGTGAAAACACTGCAAGAGGAAAACGCTGCAAAACACTGCAAGGAAAACAGTGCAAAACGCACGGGCGCACAGTGCACAGCGTCCTTTTCTGTTTGAAAAGTGGGAGAACGGGTGGATTTTGTAGCAGTTTCCAAAACGATGGCAGGCGCAGGCGCAGTGCAAGAGACATCTCCATCAGACATGTTAGGATGTCAGAGGTGCACTTTGTATCACTTTTTGGCCAGGGAATCTACAAAGGGTCTTGCGAAATCCAACATTTACAACTGCAAGTTTGTTGTCCTGTTGATATCCAACATCTTTCCTTTTCAAACGGTCATGTCACTAAGACATGAACAGATAGATATTAAAGATGGATAGATAGAGATATAGATAGGTACATAGATAGATAGTCAGGTGAACACATAGTCACACAACTAGATAAATAGATAGATATATACTAGATAGATACATAGACGGATAGATAGACAGAAGGATATTGAGATAGATAGATGCACGGATAGATAGACAGATAAACAGATAGCCAAATGGAAATCAAATGTGTAGATATGTGGATAAATAGCCAGATAATTAGATAGACAAATAGATAGGTCGACACAAAGACAGACAGATAGATAAATAAATAAACCGACAGATAGACAGATAGCCAGGAGGACATCCATGATTGACAGCAACCAACCTCTCCTATAGGTTTCCTATCTTTGAAACTTCCGCCACCGCCTTGCACGGTACTACTGGTAATTGCATCATATATATATAATATGTTGGTTTATACGTATTATAAGATGTTATGTATGTAACGAAGTAATCCCTTCCTCCTAATACTAAACGTCCCCCTAATACTAAAAACAGGCATCCATCTCCAATTTCCGAAAATTTCAGTTTGGCCAATTTGACTTGTAATTGATCCCCTTTAAAAAACAATTTAAAAATCAATTTACCATTTGTGGGTTCTCCCCCCTAATACTAAAAACTAGTTCACCCCGGGGTGTTTAGTATTAGGGGGGCCTAGTCCCAATCCCTCACTCCAAGCTGCCTGGCTACTCTAGCAATTAGGGGTAAGCTTCGAACTGCCATTTTTGGCAATATTTTAATTGCGTTATATAAGGAAATTTAATTGATTTTGAGATCGGAAAAAATAGTTTTTAGTATTAAGGGTTTTAATTTAGTATTAGGGGTAAGCTTCGAACTGCCATTTTTGGCAATATTTTAATTGCGTTATATAAGGAAATTTAATTGATTTTGAGATCGGAAAAAATAGTTTTTAGTATTAAGGGTTTTAATTTAGTATTAGGGGTAAGCTTCGAACTGCCATTTTTGGCAATATTTTAATTGCGTTATATAAGGAAATTTAATTGATTTTGAGATCGGAAAAAATAGTTTTTAGTATTAAGGGTTTTAATTTAGTATTAGGGGTAAGCTTCGAACTGCCATTTTTGGCAATATTTTAATTGCGTTATATAAGGAAATTTAATTAATTAATTAACATGACTTCGATTTGGTTCCCTAATAATAAATACCCCCCTAATACTAAAAACTACCTGCCGTGTTTTGTATTAGGGGGGGGGGTTTAGTATTAGGAGGAAGGGATTATAAGGAACATACTAGAATACACTTGATATTTGTTGGTTGCAAATTTCGGTCCAAGGCAGATTTGGGTGTGATGCGTGGCCATTTTTCATCATTTTTTGCATTTGGGCAATTCAAAGTAAAAACGGCTATCTTGACAAAGGATAACCATTTGAATTTGCAATGGTTCAGTCACGTTGGCCTTGCCCGGGTATTTCCGCCATTTTCGTGTATTTCCGTGCAATAAAATACGTAAAATCAACAGAAGTTTGCGCAAAGTGAAGTAAAGTCAGCCAAAAAGATACCACAAGTGATGACATAAGTCAGAAGATGAACACATCCGCTCAAAGGGAAGACATGTACTGTACGGAAATGGTGCAGACAGAGAAGAATTGTTTGCGTCCTTTCGAAGGTCTGGGAAACTATGGAGACTCAATGTCATGTCAAAGGGGGTCAGATGAACTTTCCCAAACTCAAGCTATCTCGACCTAGGTGCTCGCAATTGGCATTTTTGTTTATTTGCTGAGGGGTCGATTTTCCCAAAACTACCCAAAACAGCTAAGTAGATTTCCTAAGCGGTGGAGACCATGACAGACAATGTCATTATTATTTTCTTGTATATATATCGTGCACCCGAAATATTTTGAAACCGTTTGGCTATGAAACTGGCTGTGCAAATCACTTCACTGAAAGCCCGCGAATTGTGCAGGGTTACACCGGGTGCATTCATTTTGATGATTTGTTATCGAGTCATTTTTTGATATTTTTTGCCAAAACTCTGCCAAAACAGAAGATTCAGGGCCACTGTATGCAGGTGGAACTGAGCACTTGCAATGCCGCGATTCAAGCAGCAGCACGAGCAGGTGATACTGGGCTGGCTCATGAAATGCTGCAGGAGATGAGGGCTTTGGATGTGCGTCCAGTTCCTCGTCTTACTGCCAGGGGCAAAGTTTGCAGGGCCATTTTGACTCATTTTGCCGGGGGAAATGGATGGAAATGGTATGTTGTCTCGTCGGTCCCCTTGGTGCATGTATTTGCCAGCGGGGGGGAAACCGCGCCTGTAGTCGTGCACGTTTTTAAAAACACTCATTTTTGAAAGGGTTGGCTGGGGGGATGTTAACGTTCATGTTAACTTGCGTCATATGCACATGCTACGTCACGTCACTGTGTTGGGGGCGATGTTAACGTTCATGTTAACTTGCGTCACATGCGCATGCTGCGTCACGTCGCTGTGTTGGGGGGCGGAGTTAACGTTCATGTTAACATATGTTAACTTGCGTCACATGCGCATGCTACTTCACGTCACTGGGTTGGGGGGCGGTGTTAACGTTCATGTTAACTTGCGTCACATGCACATGCTATACGTCACGTCACTGGGTTGGGGGGGGCGATGTTAACGTTCATGTTAACTTGCGTCAGATGCACATGCTACGTCACGTCGCTGGGTTGGGGGGGCGATGTTAACGTTCATGTTAACTTGCGTCACATGCACATGCTACGTCATGTCACTGGGTTGGGGGGTGATGTTAACGTTCATGTTAACTTGCGTCAGATGCACATGCTACGTCACGTCGCTGGGTTGGGGGGGCGATGTTAACGTTCATGTTAACTTGCGTCACATGCACATGCTACGTCATGTCACTGGGTTGGGGGCATTGTGGGGCGATGTTAACGTTCATGTTAACTTGCGTCACATGCACATGCTGCGTCACGTCACTGGGTTGCGGGGGATTTTAACGATCTTGTTTACTTGCGTCACATGCACATGTTAGATCATGCTACGTCATGTCACTGGGTTGGGGGGGTGTTAACGTGATGTCTTGTGCATTCCCTTGCTGGCACCATTAATGTAGGATTGGCACAGAAGTAGATACACACGATTACATATGTAAACCATTCCTTCAGTGCACCCCCTGCTGATGGCCGGGGTCTGTGAATAGGGATTTTCGCGAAAGTTCCGCGAAAGTTATGCGAAAGAGCGGGCGAAAGTCAAAGTGCATGTTGAAGGGGTGGGGCAGTAAACTTTGCAAAAAAAAATCTGTCCTGAGAAGGGATTCCGTGATGCTAGCTGCATGTTTAAAAGGCTACCAAGAAGTGATCCGTGATTCTCTGGCGTAATTTGGCAGGTGGTGAACGAATCTTCATAAGAGGTGTTGTTGGCCAACATGGGCCCCGCGAAAGATAAACATGGAGTTCGCTAAAGTTTCGCGAAAGTAAAATTTTTATTCGCGAAGAATGGCCGCTCCGGGATAAAGGAATTTTGATCAACAACCATATATATATATTATATATATATAGATATATATATAGATATATATATATATACGTATATGTATGTATGTATGTAAAACAGATGTTGCTACATGTATAAAACTGTCGACCTTGAGCTTCATGTTGTCACTTGTTCTTCACTTTGTTGCATGTCTCTTTTTCATTTAGCCTCAAGGGTTCCTGCAACATGTTGATCACCGATGGAGCACCATGCTATCCATCTTTAAGTCACAAGTTTGGTGCGCGCCATGAAGCTTGCAATCACTCTAAAGTGGGGTCGATGCGATGTGGCGACTATCAAAGTCGGCCATACCATGTAGTCTCGACCAGAACCAAAGGCCATGTGAACCCAAAACTGGTGCGAAGAATCAGGTTGTGGCAATGGCGCTGGATGAACTCCAAAACCAAAAGCCTTTTGGAGGTCACTGGCCGCTCCTTGAAGAACCGCATGGCGATGTGAGAAGGAAAAAAACATCGCGCACCTTTTCAAGAGAAAATTCCCTGTAAATTACTGGTCATCATCAAAAAAACCCTTCAATTTCCCAGGGAATTTTAAGCGAGAATGCATCAGTAGTTTCGCATAGTTTCGCTATGGCGAAAACGACATTTTATTCAAAACGCTCACAACCGCTGGCGCGGCTTTCCCCCCGACCGGATGTATTTGATCCTGCTCAGTGCATGGGAGCCTGGCACACATTTTTGATGCCAATAGCTCTGATGCTGTTGAAATCCGTCAAATTTTTGGGGATGTGAGGATCAGATTAGCTACATCGGTCTCCTCACCAGTGCCTCCAACGCGCGGAACCTGGCTGCTGCTGAAGCGTTCCTGGCCGAAGCCAAGGCTGATGGCCTTGGCAAAGCAGCAATCTATGCGCCTGTGATCAGTTGTGCTGCCAAGTCTGGAAACGTGGCGATTGCTGAGCAGCTTGGCAGTTGTCTGGTGGGTGCCGAATCTCAACCCATAAAAGATCAACAAAGTAAACAAAGCAGGTTTGAACAGCAAATTAAATCAAGGCAAAAAAAACTTTGGTGGCTGATGCTAGAAGTCCCGTCTTCAGAGCCTGCGACATGTGTCCGGCTTTTATTTAGGCCCTCGAGCTGAGGAAGTGGTTCTTGGAGGCGGAGAAATTTGGTGCTGAACTGGACATCAATGCCTTCAACGCTATGATTGCAGCAGTGGCCCGTGTTGGCAACCTTGCAGCAGCCCAGCGGTGGCTGCAACGAGCACGGGAAGCTGGAGAGGAGACCGGTGGGCAAAGACATGAAGTGAAATACTGAACAAAAATCAGATTGGCCTGTATTGGCCTTCTTATTTGGTGCAGTGCCCAGTAAAGCCATGGAAGGCAGCCCATCACTCAGAACCACCTTCAAAGCCACATTCATGCTTGGATTGCTTCGGCAGGAGCCGGACCTCATCACATACACAAGCCTCATCAGTGCAGCTGCAAAGAAGCGCGATCTGAAGGTGAGTTGCTGCAGCAGATGCAGACGCGCACACACTGCTGTCACAAGCGTGGTATCATTTGATGTCGCGTTTTGTAATAAGCTTGGTGTAGCTAGTGGGTCCTGTTTGTAAGAATTTGGAATGCAAACCCACGTTGAAGAAGCAACGCGGCGCTTGCAGGTCAACCTGCAAAATCAGATGATAACGACATGATTTCACATGATTTCTTCCAAAAAAGAAAAGCTGCAAAAGATGTGATCATTTTTGATCACCATACCTCAGTCCCAGAGCCAAAAGAGCGTATAGTATACACATGTATACACAGTTTTGAATCAGATCGCTGAGGCGGCTCAAGCATATATGCGGGAAGCCATCGAAAAAGGACAGGTTTGAGGATGAAACGTGTTTGAGATTTTGAGCAAGGCACAGTTGAAAGCGCCTCGCCTACGATGAGAGATGTCATCACAGCTGTTACTTGGCATCTAGTGGTGAAAGATGCCATCTGATCGATACTGACATCTACTTGTATTAATACCACCCACGTACATCCACACAAAACAAGGTTGGTGCTTACGCGGCACTACATCATTGCACTTTGCATTATTTTTTACAGGTCATTGCTTTCTTGTGCTGCTTGCAGTGCGAGCATCTGTGTGTAATTGTTAGGAACTGACTAAAAGAACAAATAAAAACAAAACTGCTTTGGACCGGAATCCATTTGCAACCGCACATGTTGCAAGTGCAGAGTGATGCAGAGTGACTATAACTATATACATGCCTCAACGGCAGTGTTCCAGGACTGAAGCCAGACATCGTTATGATGAACAGCATCATCTCAGCGGCGGCAAAGATAGGTGACCTTAAGACTGCGGAGAAAGTTTTTCAGCAGGCTTTGGAAGCAGGTGACATGACGTTTAAGATACGAGGTCGCAGTCACAATGGATGGATGCCCATCGGTTGGACCTGGATCCGTTTGGGTGACACCTTTGGCGATGATTGGCTGGTTGTTTTGAAAACCGACAAGGGCCATGACCATTCACTCAGAACATTCCAGAATAAGCTCAACCTAAGATCTTGCAGCCTGAGCCCGGCCTGAACAGGAATTCAGGAATGCAGTTTGAATCAATCTGACGCTAGAAACAACTTTAATTCGCAGGAGGATGATGAAAGGAGGCTAGGAGAAGATGTCAATTGTGGTTTCAATGGAATTCGATGCCTTGCAATGGCTTTGTAAAGAGCTTTTTCGAGGTCAAGAAACGAAAACAGACTTCCAACTTGCAACTGACTTTTTGATCGTTGTTTTTTTTTGACCTGATCCCAAGCCAGGGAGATCCTTGGACGATCTTGGACGCCCAGGTTTGGAACCTACCGTCGTCACTTTTAGCACCTTGATTACAGCAGCCGTGAAGGCGGATGACTTGGAGCTGGCTGAGTCCTGGCTACAGAAACTTGGATCTCAGATGATCTCAAAGCATTCCCAAGATTGTTACATTCTACTTCCCCTTTCCTGTGTTGCTTTTGTTTATCACTCATCCCATATCATGCGGCTACCCTTCTGGCATTGTGCATAGTAACAATTTCTCTTGTAGATAAGCACATCTCAAATAGAAACTCCCTGGCATTCAAAGGAAATGCAGAGACTTTGGCCTCCCACCAGGTTGGTGCTGAGTCAGTTGTCAGACCGTACTGTTTTTTCAAGTTGTTTCATGTTTTTTCACAATGTCCATTTTTGTCCAACTTCTGAATGTTCTTGCAAGTTCAGTGCGTGATTCCATGCATTTGTCTACTAAAGAGCTCAAATATTGCAGAGGGCCGAGGGGATTCTGTTCCTGTGGTTTGTCCATTAGAGCTGATTCGACGCAGATTGACGGAAAGATTAGGGGTTGGAACGACGTGTCTGAAACAGTTTGGGTGCTACTCGTGGTGCTACTCGTGAAGCTTTCTAGATTTGGAATGTTATGACGCAGGTGCTGCGTTGATAACACCATTCATCGCTTTTGCAGCACGGCAACGTGACTTGCAGCTGGCAGAGTCTTGGTTCGACCGACTCTTGGCTCATAGTTGCTGTTCAGATTCGATAATTTCGGATATATATATATATATATGTCATTCGGATATTCTGATTCCGTTGATATTCAGTGGAACATGTACCAACGATTTGGTGATGGATCGATTGGAGTACCGGTGTGGAGTTGGTCGCCTTTCTCTGTGCAATACTATATAGAGCATGAATTACACAACGGGTTTGGATCAGTTCTTGTACCCATGTTTGTTGTTTCAGTGATTCGGGTGGTCGTAGGAATCGCAGTTGCAGTACGGGTAGCAGCAGTAACAGAAGTAGCAATCAGAAACATCGTATTAGATAGCGTACTTTTCATCTTGTTAATCACGTTAGCACTAGCAGTCACTAGCAATGTTAAAAGCAATGCCATGAGCAGTAGGATAGGTCAGACTCACATGTACGACATGCACGATAATGTATCACCCATTCACCCGGTCCTCTTCCGTATGGCTCTCGACCCGTCATGGGACACTCTCCACGCTCTCTAGCCATAGGAATGGCAGAGGAACGAATCCAACCTGATATGGTGGTCTATGGCACCCTGATTTCTGCAGCACAAAAGGCAGGTGAAGGGCAAGCTGCGGATGCATGGCTGCAGCGAGCATTGCAGGATGGCATTCGGCTCGATAAAAATTGTCCCTTGGAATCAATGGAATCCTTGGAACGTCAAATTTCTGCCAATTTCTGAACTTTTCCACTGTTATTGTTGGCTGCAGCAAATCTTGCTGGCAGATAGCAGGGCAGGGTGACCTCATGGTGATGGAGACAGGGGGAGAGGAAGCGCAACGCTACAAAAATCCTTTGAAATCAGACCGAGCATGCAGATATCAGGTTTTGGTATTGCTGTTTCTGCGCTTGCCAACGCTGGTGCGCTTGAACTTGCTATGCAGCGACTGGATGATATGCGACAATTGGGCTTTTCTCCAGCAACTTGCTCTTGCTTGGAGGATTTTCGCAGTTGAAATTGTCTCTATTCTCAACTGCTCCATTCAGCTGCAAGTTTAGAACATGGGATATCGAGCTGGACAAAACAAGAGATTCAAAGGACAATGAAGTGGGGGGAACATAAAAATGCATGGATGATGGATATGGATGGTTTCTGTGCTCGTACTGTAGCTACTTGATGCTATTTGAATCTATATAATCTATTTGATTTTGCTGAGGGTGATCTACCATGTGTGGCACAATTTGTGGCACAAATTCTGGTCAAAACTGAAAGCCTGTTGATTTGTTTGCCTCAGCTCAGGAAGCCAGGCAAATAAACGCGGTCTTGAAGCCTGTTAGTTACCAAACTGGAGCCTTTCGAGACGGCTCAGCTCAACAGATCTTGGAGCGAATTGTGGCATGGCGAGTGCGGCCTGATGAAATGATTCCTGGCATCAGAACTGTGAGTGTTTGTCGTTGATTGTTCAAAATGTTCAAAATTGTTTGGTGATTGAGCGCACTCTTATGTCAGTTCTGCAATTGTTACTGCACCTCTCATGAGTATAATATATAATGCAAATACATGGACATGAACGAGCAAGTAAAAATCACGCGGACACATGTGACACGCATGTACATAGATATGTAATGATATATAATATTATTTAATGATAAAAATCATACTACTATTACTAATGAATGATATTCATTATACACATATTATATATGTATGTGTATATATATATTATCATGATGATGCAAAATATCATCAACCACAGTGAAATGTACATTTTGCATCATGTTGCCATGGCTATGTTGCATAGCTTTAAAAAAATGAACAAGACACAGACACATACACACGCATTGTGTAGAAAAAAGTTTCTGGAATCCAATGCGGCATCATTTGTTTAACATAGATATAGCCCTGATTGTTTTTTGCATCACACTTCCAAATCAAAAGCGACTTCGATGCAGTCCCTGGAACTATGCTTCAAGAATCGTATGACTGGCTGGTCAAGAGTTAATCACATGGAACAGTACTGTAGAAACTCCTACCCCATGGACTGTGAAGTACCACTCAGACATAGTGTTGGTTAATCACGACGTCAACGCTTTGCGACTTACTCCGCAGGTTTTGCATGGTTTTGCAATATTCTTGGATCGCAATCTTGAAAGGGCAAAATCAGAGTCCAACACATCGTACGAATTCAAGTGCCCACCTTCTCTATTGAGCCCAAATTCGGCCAAAGCATACCAGAGAAAACAATGTAACCTAAGATATCCTAAGATAATTTTCGGCATCGCTCCTGGAATTCCAAGGTAGTAGAGCCACAGGGTTTTATCACGTGTGTTGTCGCAGTTCCAAGTGCTTGATCGAATCAACCCCAGTGTAAGTTGCAGCTGGTCTAATCATGTATTTAGATACAAGTTCTCCTACTATTCAATTTGCTTTAGTCAGGATTGCTATCGCAACCTTTAGTTGCTTCGACTATGAGGTCCTACAGGTATTTGACCCGTTGTTTGGGTGAGAAGGCCGTGAAGCAGGCAGCAAGCGAGCATCAGTTGTGGCTCGTCAGATTGTTCAGCTCAAGGGGGCAACAGTGTCAAATGTGACAGCTCAAGTATGTACGCTATGTAGATGTTATAGTTATATAGTTCTCCTTTATTCACATGCATTCACATGCATACAAAATCATACAAACATACTGTAACATGATTATCCAAGTATTAATTATCTAAATGACCATAAATTTCAATGCTTGGTACGTCCAGAGATGTCAAGGGTGGAGTGGAAGTACTTATCGAAGGAAGTTTAGAAGTCAAACTTCCGACAATATGGACAGATGAAAAGCAGAGGTGGAGCAGAAGAATAGAGAAGAGAAGAGCAGAAGAGAGAAGATCAGAGAAGAGAAAGAGTCAGAAGAAAGAAGATGTAGGTGCGCGAAAAGGTAGGAAAGTCGCGAAACACTGTGTTTTTCCAATGTTTTGAGGCTCCGGAGGGTCGAAAAGTAGGTTCGCTAAAGCGGCGGGTGCAGAGCCATCTGGCCAGATGAGAGATGACAAATTGCACGCCGTTGCGGCGCGAAGCACTTTTCAAAGTCAAAATGCACAAAAACACCAGGTCCGGACCACTTTTGGCAGTTGCGATGTCGAAAAAGTGCACACACTGTTGTGGCGCGAAGCACATTTCGAAGTCAAAATGTACAAAGCACCAGACTTTCGGACCACTTTTGGAAGTTGAGATGTCGAAAAAGTGCACACCGTTGTGGCGCGAAGCACATTTCGAAGTCAAAATGTACAAAACACACCAGACTTTCGGACCACTTTTGGAAGTTGAGATGTCGAAAAAGTGCACGCAGTTGTGGCACGAAGCACATTTCAAAGTCAAAATGTACAAGGCACACCAGCGCCGGACCACTTTTGGAAGTTGAGATGTCGAAAAAGTGCACACCGTTGTGGCGAGAAGCACATTTCGAAGTCAAAATGTTAAAAACAGTATAGGGGTGCGGACCACTTTTGGACGTTCAGATGTGCTTTCGCGTGGCAGGCGCAAGGGATTGTGGACTTTGTCAAAAGTGAGCAAAACGTGAGGGTTTTGTGGCATTTTCAACTACAACCACCACTACACCTCACTACACTTTACACTACAACTACGACTACACCTTCACTACATTCCACTACATTACACTACACTCCACTACACTCCACTACACTACAGTACACTCAATTACATTCAATTACACTCAATTACACTCAATTACGCTCAATTACACTCAATTACATTCAATTTCACTCAATTACACTCAATTACACTACACTACACTACATTCCACTACACTACATTACACTACACTCCACTACACTACACTACATTCCACTACACTACACTACATTACACTACACAACACTTTTTGCTTTTATTTAGCTGCATTTTTGTATTTATTTTGGGCTGTCAACGAGAAATCCAACGAAAAGGAAGAGGTGCAAACGAGAATAACAAATATTTTTCACATTTTTCTTCCTTGAACTTTGCCGCAACATAACCAGACGGGCTTCACAATAAACAACCTTGAAGTAGAATGTAAAAGACTAACACAAACTTAAGACTGCAACTTCGTCGCGACAAAGATATGCGACACGGTGCTCAACACCAACTTTGGGAAAAATATCTCAAGAGCCGTGGCCACGCTTTTTCCCCCGCTAGCAGACGAGTTTTGCAAATATCTCTTTGCGCTTTGATTGAGGCAATTGGATTAAAAACTGAAACAGACCTGTTGATGGCCGAACCAGCCACCATCCAATAAATCCGACACAGACCTTGGCTGAAACAGCCACAGTTGGAATACCAAGCCGACTTCGGCTTCGGCAAAGTAATCTGTGGCCCCTCTTTCTTAATATGCAACATGGGCGGCCCACGAGATCCCCACTTGCTGCATTTCAACTTGCGGTGCTTCTGAAACAGCTTTTCGAGCCACAAAGTTCCAACTATCCGTATTTGGACTAAGCGCGGATCTCTTTCAGCTTGCTTGATTTAAAGGGTCCTTAGCACTACAGAGTGCACAGCTGGCTGATTCTGAGTCAGCGTTCTTGAGCTGAAACAGCTGCAGAAGGAAACTACACATTGAAATTGAAATGTGTGTGTGTTTTTTAATCTTCGTTGCTTCGTTGCACCTGTTATTAATCAGTTGCTGTTTGCTGAACTGAGTCTGCAGGGTGTCTGCAGCTGCCGCATTGCATGTTTATCAGTTTATCCACTTTTCCACATATCATTTTTTGCATCTCACATCCGACTTTGAAGACAGCACCCCGCCGCAGTCTATGTGGCTAAGATCCGGCCCTTTCCAGCTGATCTGACTTTCGTCGACGCCGCGGCGGCATACTTGTGGCCAAAGCAGCCACCAAAAGCCGAAGCAGCTAAGTGGCCGAAGCAGCTACAGCTACAGTAGCCGAGACAGCTGCCGCCTCTTTGGCGTAGAGATGGCGTGGCCAGTTTTCAGCCACAAGCTTCCGTGAAGTGCTTGAGCTGAGGCTCCTGAAGCATCTGAAGCGAAGCGGATCTCAGACATGCTCCTAAGGAGAGGACAATTCGTCCTGTCCTTAGGAGGTTCAAGGACGACCCCGAGGCTCCTAAGGAGAGGACAACAATGGGACAAAGGCCTTTGAAAAACTCATATTTAAGAGAAGAGTATTCCAGTTTCGTCCCCTTGTCGTTCTCCCCTTAGGAGGTTCAAGGACAACCCCGAAGCTCCTAAGGAGAGGACATTCCCACCCGTTGATTCGAGGTCCGTTGATTTTTTTGATACTCCTAAGGAGAGGACAAAAAAACACACATTAAGTAGCCAAGCCTGTCTCCAAATCAAAGCTTTCGTTGAATCTCCCAATATTTGTGGGTAATCATCTCTTAGATTCAACCCATTGGTAGATTCCATGTAGCGACCAGAAACCCAAAGTCTTTACCCTGACGCTTCAACCCACCCCAGCCAGTTCCTATTTTTGCGAAAAGTCTACCACGACCTGCTATGTACAAAAACTGACTAAGTAAGTAATGCAGCTTCAAAGTGAGAAGTCGGAACAGCGTCAAAACAAGCCAAAGCAGCTTTGACAGCCGGAAGCAGCTTGCCTGATGCTGCAAGGGCTTGGCTGAAACAGCTACCGCTAAGGCCGAAGCAGCCTCACTTGAGGTCAAAATTTGAAAATATTTCGCAAGCAGGAGCTAAGTCTGACGCAGGGCCGAAACAGCCCTCCTCGCTGCGTGGACATGCTGAGCCGAAGCAGCCGAACAGCCACCGCCCTCCTGAAGCCAATGTCTGACTGCTCCAGAGCCCGCTTTTGTCCTTTGATGCTTTTTGGAAGCTTTTTTTTGCATGTGAATGAGCTTTGTGATTTCATTGTTTGCCCAGACGCTTGTTGTCAATCCGCTTTGGCTAGAACCGAGGCTGCTGTCGTGTTTGACAGCTACTGACACAAATTGCAAACGAGAGATAGAAATAAACAAATAAACCAGCAATAATTTCAAATACCTCTTCAGCTGCCTCGACGAGAAAAAATTAAAGAGCCAATGGAAAGGGGAAAAAATGTACGAATACGTATGCGTATGAATATTGAAAAGGAAAGGGCAAGGGAAACAATCAACATGTTCCGGACATGTCTTAGATGTCACAAGTTAGGGTTGCAAAGGGTATTCCAAATCAGTCATTGTCGAAGCAAACGAGATTCTCAAATAGCTTAGCCTCAAAATAACATGCAAAAATATCTCTGGCCCAAAAAAATAAAACATACAAAAATACAACTAGTTATGAGCAAGATTACACTAACTACAACTACAACTTACAACTACAACTACCACTACCACTACAACTACAACAATACTACATTTACACTACGCTACACTACACTACACTAATTACACTACACTTCACTACACTACACTACACTGAATGACACTGCCTACACCTACAACTGCAACTGCAACTGCAGTTACACTACATTACATTACACTACACTCATGACATTACACTATGCTACACTACATTACACTACATCACACTAACTACAACTTACAACTACATAAGACTACACTACACTACACTAATTACATTACACTTCACTGCGCTATGCACTACACTACACTACACCCCACTCCACTACATTACACTACACCTCACCACACTACACTCCACTACACTACACTACACTCAATTACACTACACTACACTACGCTACGCTACACTACACTACACTACACCACGCGACACTACACGACACGACACGACACGACACTACACTAACTACAAATACAAATACAAATACAACTACAATACGTTACATAACACTACACTACAACTACAACTACAGCTACAGCCACAACTACAACTACAACTACAACTAGACTACACTAATTGCATTACACCACACTACACTACACTACGCTATGCTACGCTATGCTACGCTACACCACACTACACCACACCACACCACACCACACTTCACTCAATTACATTACACTACACTACCCTACTCCACATTGCATTACATTACATGACATTACGTTACCATCACACTACACTACACTCATTACACCACCACACATGCAACTGCAACTACACTACACAAATTACACTTCACCACAACTACAACTCCACTATACTACAACTACAACTACAGCTGCACTACATCACACTACATCCAGCAGTTGTGGGTGAGGTGACCGACCAGGTGACCACTGCAACCATTGCAGCCACTCCAAAAACACAGCTCCAACCACCTTTCAGTCCACCAGTGGATTCGCTCTGCCATCCGTGATTCACAACAACCAATCTCTCCTACTATAGGTTTCCTATTTTTGAAACTTCCGCCACCGCCTTGTGCGGCACTACTGGTATAATAATTATTTATGTAGATCAGGGCCCCAGAATACCTTAGACAGAGATGTTGCCCATTCTTCCTCAGACGGAGACATTGCCCATTGTCCCGCAAAACGCATCCCGTCATCTATTGGCATTCAGTCGTCTCTGAACGTAATTTTGGAAGTGTGGAAATGCGCTTTTGGCGTCCCAAACCATTCCTTCCAGTACCCATGAAACATCCTAGAGCTGATCCCAGGTCTTTCAAGGGATTTGAGACAGCTGCCAGACATTCACCGAAGATTCGCCAAACTCCTGACAGACCCAAGCAGATGCAACGGCAAAAGAAACCCACCAGCCAGGGTCAGCAGCGAATTTACCTGCGAGGCCGTGACAAGCCACCTTGATTTAGCATGCTTTGGCTTGGTTTTTAGTGAAGTTCCGATCCCAGCATTTAAAGGGATCGGCTTCAGGGCGGCTTGAATACCGAGCCGGACCAAAAGCACTGAACAGTTCTCACGAAAGCTTGGAAGAGGTAAAGACGTTACACCTAGCAGCTAGCATAGCACGTCAACACGGGCAAACTAGCAGGCATGATTGTGGCTCGAGTATGACAGTCTCGATGTCTTAAATGAAATTGGCATGCAACTGAAGTGCTGACATGCTGCATATTGCATCCATACTGTGGGTGCATTAGAAATATTAGAATTGGATTCAGCATTTGTCACGTGGAAGAGTGTCGTTTAGGGACACTGAGATGTAGGACGTTTTTCATGTTTTTTCAAGATTCAAAATGGGCAGCCATGGAGACCTTTCTATTGGATTCTCCCAAAACCAGACCTTGGCACGTAAGCCAGTTGCAGAAGGTAGGGCACATAGGAATGACAGAAGTGAAGGCACTCCGACCCCGACAATCTGAACACCGAGACTTTAAAATGCAGCGGCAAGGAAAGCAGAAAATGAACATGACCATAAACAGTGCTTGTGCACCCATATTTCCAGGCAGAGTAATGGACACAACCGCAGCCAACTATCCCCGCCCTGCTGGAATAAGAAAAAACATGTGAACTTTGCGGCGAATTGCTTTGATTGGAGGTGATCCACTGATAATATATAAGATATCCGGTTTGGATTTGATAGGGTGACACGTCACTTGAACATAGGATTGCAGCTCTTGAGTGGGTCCTGAATCTGGGAAGGTCAAGCAGCTACTGTAAGTGTTTTCCTTTCCCTAGCTACGCTTTCACAAATCACTTCCGCGACCTTGTGACACCATGAGGTGGATGGAGGGATGCAAGAGAGAGACACGCAAGGACAGGCTCTTGCAGCTTTGGTGGGCACTATGACCGCATATAGTATCTAAACATATATTATATATAGGTTATATATGATGTTATATGTAATATATGCAAATATGATCGGCTCTCCGTATGAACGACATTTTCAAGATATAAGAAGTACTGCTGTAGGGAATGAAAATTGTGTTGCTGCTTGCGTCCTGACTTCACATCCCATGCAGCAGCTTCATTGCACAGCAGAGTCGGTCTGGCCACTCAGAAGAGAGGCAGCAACCAAAAAAACAAGCACTATGCGAGCATGGTTACCCTATAGATCCTGTGGAAAATTGGCTGTATACAGGCGTATTTCTACATGTTCCAGTGTCATGTTTTAAACTGTTGCATTCATGCGCATGGCAACATCATGCAACATCATGAGAGGCCATTCATACATGTTGATTGAGAGGGTCACCAATGACATCCAATGACTGTGTTGACACCGTTTTGTTTCTTTGGAATGCCATGGCATGCCGATGGCGCGCTGACGAGCTCCGTGTCCTGGTGATTGGTGCAGGCTTAGGCACGAACGCAGGCTTGGGCCTCGAGGCGCCGAGCCAAACAACAAGGTTCTGTCATTGGTCGTCGTGTCAGCGAAAATTCCCTGCAAAAGGTGATTGAGATGTTTGTTTGGGGAACCCTCCGGGAGAATATATATCATCTTATGGTAGCTCAATGTAGCTCAATTCCAGTATTCAAAGTTATAGATTTGTTTGATGCGCATAATATAGTAGTCAGACAGCCATAGCATATCAAGGAATATCATACTATTCAGACTATTCAGATACATTATTCGTGTGTTTCCTGTTGCATGTCCTTCGTGAATTGTACTGGACAGAGTTTTATCAGAATTACGTGGGCTCCTTAGTGGACCTCAATACATATCTCCATTGCTGAAGTTGCAGCTGTTGCAGCTGGTGCTAGGAGCTTCCTTCCTGGGAATATGGATCAGGAATCGCTACGAATAAAAGCAATGCTTCAGTCGATATTCTTGTGAGGCCGCTGTGTGCCCTGGAATTGTGAGGTGCCTTTACAACACGGGAAGCTTCTGACGGATGGCTCTGGTGGTGTGGTGGAGATCTCACCAGAGGCAGCAGGGGTGAAATTGGTGTTTTCACGACGCCAGTGGCTTTGGGCATATTCGGATGAGAATGTTTGGCTGGGCAGCTTGCTGCAACCCTTGATGTCTTTACCTTCTTGTGTAAGAAATGGTAAGTAAGAGGGGTAGAATGTGCCCGCTGTAAATATAACAGGCTTGGACTCACCGTGCCATCATTCCGCTTGCTTGCCAGGTACGGCGTAAGCGAGTGCTGGATCCAGGCTTTCCTGGTTTCATGGGTGAGGAGTTCCGGTATCTTTGGGAAGGTGCGGGCCGACCGTAATGGCTGAATGATGCCCAAGTAAAGGTTGTTTTAAGCTGCAAATCACATGCTAGGAGTCCTAGGAGTCAAGCAGTTGGACGTCATGGTAAGGTTTCCTGAATCGCTTCAGTGGCTGGTAGCGGTGTTTGTAGAAGTGGGCAACATGGATAGAACGCTTTTGGGGTGGACGAGTTCAAGAGGGTTGTTGTCTACACCCCAGCCACAGAAAAGATAGACCTAAGCAGTCCAACTAGCGGTCCTCAGCGTACATACTGCACTGCGAGCGCAGCTGGAAACCATTGAACCCCTGACTCTCATGCCTACCGAGGTCCGGAGGGTTACCTTGGAAATGCTGGCTTCATCTATGGGGTTCTGCTGACAGATCCCAAACTTCAGGTTGACATGTTGCAGCATCCAGTGACAGAGGCACATGCTAGGGAAACATCCTTGGTGACCTATGTGCTGTGAGGGGGGAGCATGATGCAGCAGTTGGCACACCTGCCACTGCAAGGCTGACAAGCGTGCAGTGCGTGAGGCGGCCTCCCAAGCAGAGGAGGCCCGTGAGGGCGTTCAAAATGGGACTATTCTTGGACAGTATGTACATGACGCATTGGCATAATTTATGCAGATAAATCAGTACATGCAGAAAGACGAGACCAAACAAAATTTCGGCACTCATTGACTATGGGACTTTGAGACAAACTTCACCCTGAAGAGGTCAGTGGAGCTATGTCTGCTGAAGCAGCTAGCTTACGCTTGATCGGCGGTAGCCACAGCTACGCTTCTTCAATCGCAAATCTGGTAAATAGCAGCAGGCAACCTGGCCAAAACATTTGACAGCAGGAGTGCTACTTGTCTCGAGGATTCAAGAGAAGAGATAGCTGTTGGAGGTTCAGGCAGCAACAAGTTTAATTAGTATATCAATGGGAATTTCAGGATCCTAAAATGGAGGTACTGTACTATATAAGGCCATATTTTGGGGGGATATTCCCTTACATGGGCCTTATATAGGCCTTATATACGGTAGGTACCTCCAATTTAAGTTCCTGAAATGGCCCTTGAGTATAATTTAATTAGTAGTTTAATTAGGTTGGTGCTGGTTGACTGATGCCCAAGCTGGGGCCACACAGGTGTTGATTGTGCCTCTATGCTTGATTTGGTTTCGTGCTTCTTCAGTGTTTAGAAAGGTGAATTTTTGTGGCTAAAACCCGCGCAGGGGGCCACAGAAGGATGACTCCTTTCACACAGCATTTGCAAGGAGGGACGGCTCTACTTCCGGCTGTAAGGATACATAATGAGAGCTCCTAAACCTGATAAAGCCCATTCCATTTCCCAAGGTTTCATGTATATATTATTGTATATTAACTTCTTCATTCTGCCCGCTTTAAAAACCCTGGCACGCGAAAGTGCAAGAGAAAGTGTACGCCGTGTAAGCAATACGTTGTCTTTGTTTCGGACTTCTAGGATATTGTCTCTAATTATTCACTCTCTGTTTGCGCGGTCTTCTTGGCTCAGTCATATTTGTGGAAGATCCACGAAGATCAAATGGATGGGAATGACAGCCATGCATCGCCACAGCCGCCACAGACCAGTTATACCTATGCAGCTGTTCCTCGTATCATTTGGATGCTTTGGTTCCAAGGTTGGGGCAAAGCTCCAGGTCTTTGCCTGGACATGCTGAAGACCTGGCGTGTCTACAATCCCGGCTGGGAGATTCGGACCATTTGTAGCCAGTGCGAATTCAAGCCGTAGTCTTGTACTTGTTTAATCTTTTTATATTGCTTTGCAATGCTTTGCAACTGTTGGATACTTCTGGTATGCGGGATGAGTTTCCAAGAATGAAATTGAGAGAAGCAACACGAAGCCATATGAAACCATGTCTATTCTTCCAACTTGCCCATGGGTGCTAAGGCAGAGAAGACTTTCCCAAACTTTTGGGTGATTTTTTGGAGGAGTACTACCACCTGAGGCAAAATTTGAACCTGGGAGACAAGTTTGGCTTGACCAGTGAGGAACGAAAGGCAGCCTCAGATTTGCAAAGGCAGTCCTATTATTTTCTTTGACGTCTTATGGGTATTTACTTCATTGTTTTTTCGTATGGTTTAGGTCTGCGTGCAAATTGGTCTCATGTCTCAATTGCAGACTCTTCATTCCCGAGGCTTTTGGCGACGGCCTCATTCCGCCGGCTGCTGAATCTGACATTCTTAGGCTGTATTTGTTGAAAAAGTACGGAGGCGTATGGGTTGATGCGACAAACCTATGCCGGCGACCGCTGGATGCATGGTTGCCTTCAGCGGCCTGTGAAGGGTTCTTTGCCTTCTTTCCCGACTTGCAAAGTCCAGAGCACAAAGGGGTGCCCCACATCATCAGCAGTGCCTGGGCTGGGTGAATTATTTCGGTCTATATAATTACGTTGATGAGGCCGCGGCTTTCGATTGCTTTCTCCTTGACAGATTTGACAGGATGTTGGGGGATGTTGATGTTTTGGCCGATTCACCAACTACAGCTTTTGCACCACTCAGCTGGCATCATCAGGTTTCATTGTTTCTTGCCCTGGGCATCCTATCGTTTCTGCCTGGCTTGAGCGCACCAAGTCACATTGGTCCAAAAGCTACCACGAGCGACCTGATTTGGAATACCTGTGGGTCAACAAGCTCTTCAGGAAATTGGTTGGACCTGACGCTGACGGCGATCCGAGAGCTCAGAGTATTTGGGCCAAAGTGCCAAAGATAAGCTGTGAGCATGGCAAGAAGGGGCCAATGCGTTTCTGGCCCTTTGTTGGTTTTATTATGTTTTATTCGATTTCTAAGCTTTCTCTTTCAACTCATTTTCACTCATTTTCCCGGCAAGGGTTTCACAAGCTGGAGTCCAAGACTAAGATACATGTAGTAAGAACTCACTCGTGGTCTCTTCCGTTCCAAAACTTTTTGCGACAAATTCCAGGTTTCTATTCCGGCCCAGAGGCTTTATCCCGAGGTGATCGGCTTTTTGAACTGATGTTGGCACCAACCACGGCGGAACTGATGGAGGAGGTGGGGTTGCATTGCTGGCCCTTTTCTTATGATGACCCTGGCAAGTTCAGGCTGCCCCTCAGAGATTGAGTGGGATTGACGATCATTCATTCAGGGAATATGGTTATAGGTTGTTGATCTTCTGTGAGGGTTGTCAATTTGAAGCGTTTCCAGTTTGATATTGTTTGTTTGTAGTCATGGCTTGTCAAAGAGCCCTGAGGTAGAGAAAGACAGAGAGACACCCATGTGGAAGTTGGCCTTTCGAGAACAAGTTGAGGACACCTCAGCGTATTGGTACGTGCTAAAGCGCACTCTGGCCCAAGCTGAGAGGTCGTGAAAATCAGCGTGAAAAGGAAAGAGGAAAAAAGGCGCGAGTTGCCCATGGGATCCCATGGGAGAGGTGTAATTCAGATTGCAATAGTTGACAATAAAAAACTTTAAGACGAGTCAGACCAAACTATGTCTTCACACTTCATAGGATTTGGAGTCAACCTCTGCATATCGATCATTACACCTCTTAGGGCCTTAGGCAATACAGGATAATGCGGGTGTATTGTATTCCGATACATGTTGTACAAAAGCATGTCCTTTTCTATTTGCACATTATATAAATGAATATACTGCATATCTGTATATATATATATATATCAACTTCATGCGTTTCATCATGACATGACATTTGATATCATTCAATTATGCATGTACCGAGTTGAGACACAAAACACGCGTTGCCGGGCCTAATAGGAAATACATAATTAGATTAATTAGGCTGCTTGGACTTGACACCAAGAAGTCCCGATAGAGGATTATTGTCAAGATAATCTTGAAGCGACGAGCCCTGGACAGACAGCTCTCTTCAGAGAAGAATATCTTCTGGATGTTCATGACCACCCCGCCAGGCACAAACATCCCAAGTATGAATCGGTTCAGAGACTTAAATCCCAGCCTTCTGCACAGCTTTACCAGGGCATTCACATGTGACTCTTTACAATCTCGATTTGGGGTTGATTGATGGCTTGATGATTTGGGATTCCAAATTCCAAGCATCTTCTTTTGAGACAAGCATGGGGGGAGCACGGGTGAAGTTTTCAGCGATTTTGATCTTACTGGCTGTTCCACAAAGCCGAGCCCTTAGCAATTCCACATGTCGCGTGCAACTCTCAAGGTATCAAGTGGTGCTGGCCGCATCCAAAGGAATCACTCAGCTGTTGTTGGCAGTGTCGTGGCGCGGCAGGACATGAAGCTGCCCGCAAAAACAGAGAGAGAGAGAGATTGTGCATTTACCACTCCATTTCTTTGGGATTTGCGGGATGACTGTGCACCACTTCAGCAAAGGTGGATCTCATGCCCAGTGGCCATGGTGTTGCTGAATGGTGCGGAGCCGCCTGTGGCCATGGATGTCGGTGCGATTGGAGGAGATTGGGGCCCGGACTTTGCAGAGCTAGGCAGACAGTTTTTGGCCCATCCCAAGGCTTGTGGGGCAATCGGTGGTTTATATATTCGCTTAATTTGGTCGAATGAGCACAGTTAAATTGAAGTTTATTTTGGCTGTCAGTGCCTGGGTCTGTGCTGGTATCGTGACCTCTTTCCAAGCCAGGAGGAATAGAATAAAACGTGGTGCAACATGATGATGCAATGAATTTTGCTTTGGCACGGCAGGTTCCACGTCTTGTCCTCACCAGCCATGGAGCGGAAGTGTCCGCGCAGCTGCGAAAGGCTGCGGTAAGAGCCCTGGCATAATGCAAATAAGGATATAATATAATTATTAGGTTGTGAGTTCAGCTCTGAGGTGTTTGTTCGCCACATCACCCTACATGTAGAACAACAGCAACTCCATGATGTTCCGGATTTCTCTCATACCATGTCACTTTGCCCAGCCTAGTCAAGGACTGGCACAAGAAGACTCCTGTATGTACACTGCTGCTTGTGTCTCACAGTGCCTCTGCAGAATTTGATATGCATTGCCCGGGGCAGAGGATCTTCCTGCTTGCTGCTCTCTTTGTAACTTTTGTATACTTTTGTCAGGGAATCAATGCAGAAAAATTATGAATCATGATTAAAAATACTCAACTGCAAACTGCCAGTATAGTTGCAATTACTTGCTGCCTCCAGGTTAATTACATTTAATTACTGCATGATTGCACCTCCAAAGACCGTTCATTGAAATGATATGTTCGTTTTTGATCACCCGTGTCAGACCTTTTCAGTTGCACCATCCCACGGCATGAGGCGTCTTGCATTATATTCATCCTTGGATCACCGCTGCGTGCCAAACAGAGAGAACCATTCACTGCCATGGTCGTTAACTTTCCCTTGTGAGTGTTGGCATGAAGGCTGGGTGCACATTGGGGTCCGTCTCATAGCCCTAGCTCAGAGCCTTACTGTAGAGAGCTGCTGCGGT